TTCCCTGATCATTAGTGATGTTGAGCATCTTTTCATGTGTCAGCCATCTGTATGTCGTCTTTGGAAAAATGCCTCTTCAGGTTCTCTGCCCATTCTTTTATTGGATTGTTCTCTGAATAGTGGTTGTGAGTTTTTTATGTATTTTGGATACTAACCCCTTATTGGTTATATCATTCTCAAATACTCTCTCCCATTCAGTAGGTTGCCTTTTTGTTTTGTCGATAGTTTCTTCACCATGCAGAAGCTTTTTAGTTAGATTCAGTCCCATTTATTTATTTTTGCTTCTGTTCTTGCCTAAGCAGACAGATCAAAAAAAAATACTGCTTACATTGGTGTCCAAGAGATTACTGCCTGTGTTTTGTTTTGTTTTGTTTTGTTTTGTTTTTCTCCAGGAGTTTTATGGTTTCCGGTCTTAGGTTTAAATCTCTAATCCATTTGGAGTTTATTTTTGTGTATGATGTAAGAAGGTGATGCAGTTACATTCTTTTGCATGTAGCTGTCCGGTTTTTCCCAGCACCATTTATTTAAGAGACTTTTTCCCATTGTATATTCTTCCTTTGTTGAAGATTAATTGACTGTACAAGCATGGGTTTATATTTCTGGATTCTATTCCGTTCCCTTGATTTCTGTACCTACTTTTGTGCTAGTCCCATATTGTTTTGCTTACTATAGCTTTGTAGTATAGTTTGAGATCAGGGAGTGTGATATCTTCAGCTTTGTCCTTTTATTTATTTATTTTTTAAGATTTTGTTTCTTATTTGAGAGAGAGTGCATATGTGCGCATGAGCAAGGGAGAAGGGTTGAGGGAGAAGGAGAAGCAGGCTCCCCACTGAGCAAGGAGCCTGATGCGGGGCTCTATCCTAGCTAGGACCCTGAGATCATGACCTGAGCCAAAAGTAGACACTTAACCAACTGAGCCACCCAGGCACCCCAAATGGGATTGTTTTCTTAATTTCTCTTTCTGATAGTTATTAGTATATAGAAGTGTAATAGATTTATATACGTTAATTCTGTGTCCTGCATCTTTTCTTTTCTTTCTTTTTTTTTTTTTTAAGATTTTATTTATTCATGAGAGACACACAGAGAGAAAGAGGCAGAGACACAGGCAGAGGGAGAAGCAGGCTCCACACAGGGAAGCCCGATGTGGGACTCGATCCCCGGTCTCCAGTATCATACCCTGGGCTATAGGCGGTGCTAAACCGCTGAGCCACCCAGGCTGCCCATGTGTCCTGCATCTTTACTAAATTCATTTATTCTAATAGTTTTCTGGTGAAGTCTTTAGAGTTTTCTATATATAGTATGTCATCTGCAAATAGGGAGAGTTTTACTTCTTTTCCAGCCTTTTATTTCTTGTCTGATTGCTGTGGCTAGGACTTCCAGTATTGTGTTGAATAAAAGTGGCAAGAGTGGGCATCCACATCTTCCTCATCTTAGAGGAAAAGCTTTCAGCTTCTCACAGTTGAATGTAAGCTCCAGTATTTCGTTTTTAAGGTTCTGTAATGAGGGCTGTATCTACAGTTGATGGGTACATTTAGTACAGTCACCCCCACCCTACCCCTGCCCTACAAGCTAATGATTTTGCATCTTAAAACAGATAGTATCAATCAGAGGAAACAATGGCGTGTAAAAAGGTTAATGCAGTGTCAGGTACAATATGTATTCATAAGTATCTGCTCTCATTTTATTTTTAATTGATCAGAATTCTGGTTCTTGTGTTAAGGCCGTTCCCTAGTGGGGAGGTGAGGTCAGTCTACACACAGGACACCAGATTTGTGAGGCAGCCACAAAGCAGGCAGGAGGGCAGAGCTGCACTCCCGTAGGCACCTAGATGTTGCATGTGAGAGACAGCAGTGGGATTTGTGGTTGTAAGTGCTAAGGCCCGTCTGCACCTTGGAAGCAGAACTGGACAAGGAAGGACCTGCAAACTAGAACTTCCTTATTGATGCAACTAGCATAGATTTTTGTTGTTGTTGCTTTTTGTCACCTCTTACTGTTTGTGGAGGTCTTACCGGAGGATCTTTAGCCTTAACTAGACCGTGTTTAGAGAGGCTGATTGTTTACTCTTTGGCTGCAGTGTGTGTTCCCGGGAGCCTGGCTTCTCTGAGCAGGAGTAGCAGTCCTCAGCTGGAGACTGGGTGGCCAAAGTGGATTTTAAGGAAGGGATTAGGCCATAATGGCTTGTTGAACTTCCCCTCCCTTTTTGGAAGGTCTCCTTCCAGTGGCAGACTTGGAGGTGCCAGACTGTATTTTATTAAACAAAGGAGCCTGTCCTTACAGATCTTTCTCTGCAGACACATTTGAAGTACTTATACTCTAACTTAAGAGTCTCTAATTTGGGTCAGAAGAAGAGTAGCGATTTGAATCTCAGATGGAACATAAAATGGGTTCATGTTATATAGACTATCTTGTAACCTCCCCTCTGTTAATATAAAAATATGTCTTGGTACTCACAGAGGTATTTAGGGGTTAAGGGGCATTAACTCTAAGATATTCGTAGAACAGTTCCACATAGATGTGTTGGGGAGAAAAATAAAAAACAAATGTGGTAGAATGCTGACATTTGGGGACTCTGGGTGAAGAGTTTGTGGGAATTCCTTTTACTATTTTTATAATTTTGCTATATCTATAAAATTATTTCTAAAGAAAAAGTTGAAAATATCTTGAGCATCTTCCCATGCAAGCCCATGCATTCACATTATTATTTTTTCTGTATCATACTGTTGTATGGATGTACTGTGAAGGTCTAGAGCTAAACTGTTGTTGGGCATTTGATTATTAACAGGTATTTGCGATTATAAACAGTGCCACTTGGAGGTCCTTAAATATGATAATACCCTCATGTATTTGGAATGGAATCTCTACACTCCATTGAAATACTCCCACTCTCATAATGGACTTAATAGGAAAATTCACAGTAAATTAACCGAATTAATACTTGAACCTTAAGACCTTATTTTACAATTTTAAATGGGTTAATTGGTGACTACCTAGCAATATTTATCTTATCCAGATACTAATAAATATTGAGCTATAGAAAAATTTCCTTAGCTCTGCTTCATCTGATGTAATAAGACTTTAGAAAAAAAAAAGAATCTTTCAGTGATGTGAAGCACCTTGGCTGAATGTTGACTCCTTGAATAATTACAAAGATCCAAAGGTCTTTTAGCATTCTCATCTCATTCTGTTGGAAGTGGTAGGCAAATCTTTTTCTCTTTCTTTCCAACATGCTTCACTACTATTTCATTGATTCCCAAGCATGTTAATCAGATTCCCATTCCCATTCCAGGAACAGATGAGATAAGGGAATTGTTTGATCAGAGTCAGTAGTAAAATGCTATATGCTCTGTTGTATTGATTCACCTTCAACTTATAATTGTTATTTTTCCTGATGATGCACGTGAAAAATTGAAACCATAGAATATTCTTACATTTTACCGTCAGGTCAGAACAGCATTCGTACTAAAATGTTTGGTCCAGTTTTTAGGCATCTCTTAATGGTTTGAATAACAAAAAGCAGGTAAGCAGATGTAGTTTGTGATATGCATAATGCTTACAGGCAGATCTGATAGGACACTCAGATAAAAGGAATTACCCTTGATTCTTTGGTTATACCTCCTAACTTCCTCAAAAATACCAAACTGCAGACATTTCAACAAAACTGTTTCCGTGAAATTTACATGTTTTAAAACCAGACCCAGGTGGGTTAAATTACATATGAACATTGACATTTCCATTCGATTTGATTCCACAACAGTGTGAATGTTGTGTGCTCTTTTCTTTCCTTTTCCTTCATCCTTAAACTGAAATGGTGGGTTAATGAATCCTAGATCAGGAATTGGCAACCAATGCTGTATTAAATTACACTCAGATTAGAAATGAGAGCCTGGAAAAGAACCCTTTCATCTCCTCTCCAGCTGGAGGCGGGTATTGGACCAGACAGACTAGGAAGACCAGTGCTTTATGCACATAGCAGTGGCAGTAACTGGGTGGGGGGGGTTGTTGTATAGAACTTGCCCAGAGCACTTGGCTCTCAATTGACATAGAAACAGAAGTTGCTTTTCCAGGGAAAAGCATGAGGTCATGGGATTCGTTTCATGTCTCTAGTGAAGGAAAAGTGTTTTGTTTTTTAACTTTTCCATTTTCTTTGCACTTAAAGTTATAAAGACTGTAATATGACATTTCCTAGACACTATGGTGACAATACTAGTGGCAGCAGCTGTCATTTGTTTAGGTGTGGAGAAGGAAGAAGTATAAATAGATCTTTCATCCAAGACACTAGGAAATCTTTCTTCCTGGGGTCTTTCTCTGGGGAAATATTTACTGTGTGGGTGTTTGTGTATACATGTGCATGTATGTATGTGTGTGTGTGTGTATACACACACACACACACACATACAGTGAAAATACTGACTTGAAGTCGAGGGAGAGACATTGAAGTGAATGTCATTACTTTAAAGCCAATTTTTGGCCAGCTAGAATACTACAAAAACAAAACAAAAAACCACAACTCTAACCTATCCTTGATTCGATGTTAGCCTCTTTACCGTGGGCTCACAGAGGTGTTCAGATGATTTCCATCTTTGTGTTCATTTTACTTGGCTCGCTGGACAGATGTTGCTGTGAAGCAGCAAACTGTGACCCCAGTTTTCTTTCTTTCTGCCTCCATTTTTGTTAGTATCTGTTATTCCCCTAGATTTACTAATTTATTAATTTTCTTTAAGATCTGCATTTTCCTCTGGAAACTTTGACCTGAGGGTCCATATTAGTCTGCCACAGCCTCCCAGCAGAACCCTTTCCCCACTGATGAGGTCAGGTTAGTCTCCAGTCTTGTTTTCATCGAGAATGTGAAGTTCCAATACTTAGCCACTCAAAGATGGCGCCTGGGGTGATTCAACCCCTGCAAGAGTATTGCTGTAATAATACCAGGATCTACTAATAACCGTCATTGGAATTGGGTTTTGTTCATTTGTGCTAACCTTTTCCTTGTTTTTCACTTTCAGCAGACCTACTCCAATGAAGTTCATTGTGTTGAAGAGATTTTGAAGGTGAGTTGATTTACCTTCAATCTCCATTTGAAGAGTTCATCTTCAATCTCCATTTGAAGAGTTATTGAGGGAGGTAGACATATATCCACTTTGACTTTAATGAGCGGTTGGTTGCCATTCCAAACCCCTTTCAACGGTTCCCCTCCTCACACCTCCCAGTACAAAATAAACCAGAGAAATAACAGAGGGACCCTAAGAGCCTTACTGAGCTCTCTGACAGATTGTTTATTAAAATGAAGTCTACAAGCTGCAAGGCATTATTTGGACCAGAGTTTTAAGACCTCTCTCAGGTTTTACTGCTTGTTCATAAAGACCCACAAGAATTGCTCACTTCTCAGAAAGGAAAGTTCTCTGTATCTGAGGGGTGAAACAGTGCTTGATTTATACCTCTTGGTGTTTTGTAAGGTGACACCTGATATGTATGGCCTCATCTTCAGGGGGGCCATGAATTTTTAAGGGAATTAAAAAAATAACATAGAAAGTAAATGGACATCTATAAACCTACCTTAAGGGGTTATTTTTCACTCTTGTTTCTTGAGATGGTGCCATGATTTATTCAGCTTCTACAGATACATAATTGAACCCCCATTATCTATAGGTTCAAGGTTTTTTTGCACAAGCACAACAAATGCCTCCTAGAATTCAGCTCCAGGAAAAAATAAATTCTCCTTGTGAACTAGCATGCTTTTTGGGGGGTGGGGGTGGGGAAGGGGGGGCATGCTTTATCAGATAGAGAAGAATTATATTAAACCGTTGTTTCCCATTTTGGCTTTAATTTCCAGGAAATCTAGAGCTAAATTTAATGTTCAAGTACTGTAATTGTAATAACTGAGGGTTTTATTTCTCATTCCTCTTTTTTGGCTTCTAACTTTCTTCCGTGTGGGTTTTAATGATAACCTTGCTTTTATCTTTTACTTTATTCTCTGATTTTTTTTTGAAGTAGAATATATATGTCACAGGTACCTATTCATGTGTATCTTCACTGCTCACTTTTCCTCAAACTATACTTACCCAAATTTTCCCTTTAATTTTTCCCTTTAATTTTTCATTGTAAAGTAAGGCAGCACTGAAACCAACATTTTTAAAAAAGATTTATTTATTTTAAAGATTTTATTTATTTGATAGAGACAGATCACAAACAAGAGGAGGGGCAAAAGGAGAGGGAGAAGCAGACTCCTCAAAGGGCAGGGAGCCTGATGTGGGGCTCTACCCCAGGACTCTGGGATCATGATCTGGGCCTAAGGTAGACACTTAACCAACTGAGCTTTGCAGGCATCCCTGTTTGTTTATTTTAGAGAAAAGGGGGAGAGCGAGAAAGAGAAAAAGTGATTGGAATGGGGGGATGGGTAGAGGGAGAGAGAGCCTTAAACAAACTGTAGGGAGCCCAACGTGGGGCTCAATCTCACAACCCTGAGATCACTACCTGAGCTGAAACCAATAGTCTCAGATGCTTAGCCAATTGCATCACCTAGGTGCCCCTGAAACCAGTAATTATATAGGTTACCTTCTCACTTGCAACATTTTTGACAAAGGTTGTTTGGAAAGTAGTCTCATCATTTTTGTTTTCTTTATCCCCTACTTTTGCAGTTAGGATCTTCTGAGAAAGAAATATCTCTAAGGAAACACACTTTATACTGCTAGAATTGAGCAATTTTTGTGAACCAGCAAGGAAGATTAATAATAAACAGGTTATCTTGATTAAGCTTTTGTTTTATCTTCTCCTGGTATTTCTGAAATCCTTTGGTATGATGAGTCATAAAAACAACAAATGACTTAGAAAATACGGCCTTAGCATTTTCTCTAAGAGTATATGTGATTTGTTTTATAGTTATTTCAAAAGCAAATGCAATAATATAGTTTGTCTTCTATATATGTCAAATGCTACTCTTAGGTTTTGTGGTGTGTTAGTATACTACTTGTGAAATATCTTATTTAGGATGATGGCAGTAGAGTACCAGATAAGTGATTTTAATTAATTAATTAATTAATTTATTTATTTATTTTTTTGTGATTTTAATTTAATGAACCCTTTCACTCTCCCTCCCTTCTCAGCCAACATCACTTTCATATCACTTTCCTTTCATGGAAATACATAAAAATGAATGGTTAATGCAAGCAAACAGATGAGTATTTTCATTTGGAAATCATACAGAAAGCAAACAGAAGGTTGTCCTGGACTGAGGAGGGGCACAGGTCTTGACATAGTGGAGACTTAGAGTTTGTCCCCCTTCTTTTCTCCTCTCTTTGGAGCTCCAGCTACATCATGTGTACTGCTGGGACCTCAGTTTCCTTGTCGGTAAAATGAAGGCCCTGGCCTAATAGATGATCTCTAGGGTCTGATCTAGCTCCTACTCTCTGGTGCTGATCCAGATACTTTCCTCCTCCTCATGGTTCCTGTTCTTCTCTTATAACAACAATGTATGAAGATTGCCAGAGGTCCTAACACAAATCTTTCTGATGGGCAATAGAAGCAGTAAATAGTTACCTAACAGAAAAAAAAATCAATCATAGGGGATATTGTTTGGTTCTCTGGTGGAAATATTAAGAGTGGAAGTGTTTTAATGAAGGGGAGCTGTAATTCCTGCAGCTGATGTGGGGTAAGAAGACAGCAGATAGACACTACTAGAAGCTAGGAAATGGTCACACACAGGATCCAGACAGGGCACTGTGCCCTCATGTCCTCATGGGCATTTGGAAGCAGCTCACATTTTCTACTTAAAGTGGCCTGGCCTGGACAGCCTCCTGGGGAAGTCAGTGCAGCACTCGGGGGCATGACCTCAGTGTAGCATTGCAGTGATGTTGGTACAATGAGTGGCAGCACTCATTCATTCATTCACTCATTCATGCAACAGATATCCACTTAGCCTCAGATACTTTTCTAGGCACTGGGGATTCCATATGACTAAGAGTTCTTGCTCAAAAGGGAGAAGATAATTATATAATTAAAATGTCTGCTGTGAGTCCTATAGCAGACAAATGAAGAGGAGTAGACAGAGGAAAGATTGCAAAAAGCCTTGAGGTGGGAACAGATTGGTGTATTAGAAAAGCACCAAGAGCCAGACCATGTGTGTGCCTAGAGCACAATGACCCAGGTAGAGAGGGAGGGAGGAGCAAGAGCAGCCATGGCACCTAGAAGTGGAGCCTGAGGCAGGTGTGAGAAGTCACTGTTAGGGTGGGTAGTGAATTCATGACCTTGCAGGTAGCTCTGGCCAGCCTCCTTGACTGATGACCCCAATTCTCCCAAGGCCTAACTCCTTCTAGTAAGCTAGGCATTTAGGGAAGTATATAAATTCTTTCAGACCTTTGGCCAACCACTTAGGGCCTGAAAGAGTTTATGCACTTTCCAACTGCCTAATTTAATAGCTTGGGGCAGCCTTAGGCATTGAGAGTACAATGGACGTTTTCTGGGAATAATTGGTGACTAAAAAGTCATAGATACCATTGGGATTCTAAAGAAATTCTTGGAAAACAGAAGAGGGGAAGAATACTTTCAAACACCTGCATTAATTACATTTTCATATTGTAGCGGTATGATGATCCCATTCCTTAAAGGGGATAGTCAAATACATGAAACAGCAGGGAACTCTCTTTGGTGCAGTATTGAAATTCTTTAAAAATTAGACTTAATTAAAAGTTGTGATGCTTTTCATTTATGGAGTACTTTCTATGACCCTTATCTAAACTCTTTACATAAATTGCCCTCATTCCACTTAGGAAAATAAGTGGTCTTGGTTCGCCTCTCCCTGAGCACAGCTGTTCAGAGGGCCCAGGCATGTGAGACTGCCAGGGCTGGTAAGGATCGCAGTTCAGATTCCAGTCTGGGCCTCTGGCTCCAATGTAGCTACTCTTTCCATTCCGTTTCAGGACAGAATTCTTCCTTTGTGCTAAACAAAGCAGAAGGATAGTCAGTAGACAGGGGCATGTCTTTACCTTTAGCAGAAATTAGTTAAGAAAGCCAGCATCACTTACTTGGCTTGCTACTGTGCCAGATCATTTGTCTGTCCTGGGGTGATAGCCACCCAGATAGCAGCCGTGGGGAAAGGCAAGGAGAAAAGGTACAGTGTCTGGCATTCGAAATACTTGCTAGAGATCCCTCTCTGGTTGTTCAAGGATCAGACGGCGTTTCTGTGGTAATGGGCAGGTTGGTCTGCACTTTGAAAAGAATGCAGTGTTATAATACACAGTGTTGTACACCTGAAGTAATTCAGCACAGTCTCCGGCCACCAGCTTGCTGGAGTTGTCTGTCATTCTTTAAGCCAGTTTCCCAGGCAAGTTGGACACATATGGGAATGGATTTCTTGCTCTTAGATTAGATGAGCCAAGGGGCCGACACTGTGCATTGTCAGCCATCAGCCTGATCCACTCATTTTGGACCTCAGTTTTCTCCTCGGGAAAAACGAAGAGATTGATATTAATGATCTCCAGTTACATTTTAGCTCTTTACCAAAGTGGGTGCGTGCATACGTGTGTGTGTGTGTGTGTGTGTGTGTGTGTATGTGTATGCATGCACACACATGCACATATTTGTGATTAGACACATTTAATCTGACATTGTTTTCTGCCAGTTTTTTTTAGCAAAGCAGACTATAGGTCATAAATGTGCTTAGAAAAGAATTCATGTCAAGATAAATGTATTAATTTGTAAGACAGAGAAATCTTGCCTCCATGAAAATAGTGAATAGAAGTAAAAACTTGTTACTGGAAAGGGAAGGTAATTTCTTAAGGTCCTTTCCTCAAAAAAAAAAAAAAAAAAAAAAAAAAAGTTCGTATGTCCTAATAGTGTTTATCAGGGGAGGGTCAAATCCATTAAAACTCTCCCAAGTGGAACAAGTGACCTGAATTACTTGTTTGCTTAAGTCAAACAGGAAAGTTCTTCTTCCTTTGAACTTAAATAATTCCAGGAAATTCAATAAAGAAGCTGAGGAGAAAAAGAAAGCATTGAGTAGAGACTCCGTGGTCACAGTTACATAAGCTCTGTTAATACCTATTACTCTTTATATGCTTTATAATATTCAGTGTTAAGACTGTTCATGTTCTGTATTCTCGTTTTTTTCTTCTTTGAACTGATCTCTGTTTTGTGAGTTGGAGATTGTCAGCCCTAGAACATAGCCCTTTAAGTAGGAGTCTTTTTTTTTTTTTAAATAAAATAACTTTTATGATTTCTCTTTTTATTTACTACCAATCCACTCTATGTTTAGTATAAAATATTAACTTACTTAGCTGTAAATGTTCTATTTATAATTTACTTTTTCTTCCCTTTCCAAATCTCTTTCCAGGAAATGACCCATTCATGGCCACCTCCTTTGACAGCAATACACACGCCTAGTACTGCTGAGCCCTCCAAATTTCCTTTTCCCACAAAGGTAATTCCTTACAAGTCCAGCAGGCATTGTATCCACACCAGTGCAAAGTCTGAAGTATTCCTGGGAGCTAGATGGATCTAGCACTCACTGATGAAATCTCTGCAGATTAGGTTAAAATTGCAACTAATTTAGCTTCTGAAGTGCTTCATAATGTTTTCAAACACTTCACTCTCCAAACTATGTCAGTAAGAATGTCTTATATTTGTATGAGGGTTCTATAGCTTATGAAAGCATTCAGCACTTTTCAGTAAATTCTCTCATGTGAGATTTTTTACTTAGACATGGGAAAACAGAAGTACAGGAAAAGTAGGAGAGGTAGAGGTCTGCTTCCTCATTTGGAATTTAGATACATGCGTAACACATAAATCTTATACTTCTCATGCCTACTAATTTTTATAAAGTCTGATGTGATCATTTGTATTAGTGCTGGTTTTAATAACAGGCGAATCAGTTGCTAACTTGGATGTTTCCATTGAAGTATTTGTGAACAATGCATTTTAAACACTGCCATTTTCCTTTGCTCATTTGTACTTTTGGATAACCTTCAGAGTATAGAAATAGCACCTTCAGATCTGTGTTCTGTCCAGCTTGGTATACAGGCAGATTGTTAATATAGCTATTCCTTTCCATGGTATTATTTTCATACTCAAACCAGAATTTGGTTACATATTTTCTCATGATAGGATGTTTGTTTGTTTGTTTTTTTAAATGTTCATTATTACTGGTTTTAAGGTAAAACATTAGACTTTGAATCAGTCAGTCTTTGCTTAGCGCCACAGGAAAAATAAATTCTAGGATAGAATAGAAGAAGAAATAAGAAGAAATAAAAACCCATTTTACATATGTAAAAATTAGATTTATCAGTATTCATTAGACTTAGCAGTGATGTAGCCTTAGATTTATAACCCTTAATATTTTAATAACTAGAGATTTTTTTCTTTCTAGGATTCTCAGCACATTAGTTCTGTGACCCAAAATCAAAGTAAGTGGAACTGATTATTGCATTGGAGAATAAAGCATGGTTTTTATTGTTGTAATATGAAAAAACAGTGAAAAATAGCCCAGCACAGATGAGATGCTTCCTATGTTGAAAGAGTAGGAATGGAGTGTAAACCTAAAACTTCTTTAAGTGAAGTTTCAGATTGTTAGGAAGAGCTAATGAAGATGTCTTAGTAAAATACTTGGCAAATAAAATGTGTCATAATTGTAACAAATACAATTCCCTGACATATGTACATATCTCAAATGTGACTCTCAAAGCATTGTAACCCAGGAATAGTATATAAAACAGATTGGGATATTTTGTGTGGTTCGTGTGTGTGTGTGTGTGTGTTTCCCTCACAAAAGTAAGAAATTTGTGTGAGGAATAGAGTACATAAGGTTCTTTAGTTTTTCTCAGTGTGTTTGTCCTGCAGTTCTTGTTTGGTCCCTCTTTATGGATTGTAAATAGTTGAGAATTCAGAGGGAAACAGAAGTAAGCTAACTGGATCCAGCTTTTCTCTTCATTGATAACCCCTTGGTTCAATAAATTTGTTTGTGTTCTGGCTATGTACAAGGCATTTCAAACCTTATAAAAATGACTAGGGTATTTGCAGTCATTTAGTTTATGAATATATGGTGAGGTGTCCAAGTTATGAAGTATTAGTCTTCAAAAAAATAGGACAACCGAAGTAGGGTTTGTCTGTATTTTGGGAGAAGGTTGCACATAGATACTCCTTGGAGGTGACTCTTCCTCACCTCTCCCCACCCCATTCCTTTTCCTCATTCATATTTTTCCCCTTTATTTTTCCACAGTTAATAAATTGCAGTATGTGAGGAGAGTAGGAAAGATGAGGAAATCAAGAAACAAATACACTTTCCTTTAGAGCAGGGGTGGACCCACTGTAGCCTGAGAGTCCCATCTGTTCTGCAGCTAGTTGTTGTAAAGAAGGTTTTATTAGGACACAGCCATGCCCATTCATTTATTATTATGCTACAAGGTACAGCATGCAAAGACTGAAATATTTACTATCTGACCTTTGTAGAAAAAGTTTCCCATCCTCTCCTCTCGATACTGAATAAGATCTTGCAAAGAGCTCAACTGAATTTCCCCCAAATGCAAAGAAATAAACCGAATCATCCTGCCACAGTATTTTATAAGTAGCAAGGTAAAATGAACATAAATTAATGGCTCCTTGGGGGGAGATTGGGAAATCTTTTTGATAGTTTCTTAGGGAGATTGGGAAATCTTTTTTTTTTTCTCAACATCTTGGCAGCCTATCCAAAGACAGATAAGCAGTGAAGTGGCACAAGTCTCGGATGGATCACCAACTCAGCTGTGGACAGGATTGCTGTATGCTCCTTTACCTCTTGCTCTCCCTGCTCCCCATTTGCTAGGTAGGGCTGCCCGTCAGGCAGATCACATCTCTTCAACTGGGTTGCTCACAGGTTTGGTGATTGCTCACTCCCGGTTTAGAAAGACCCTTTAATCCTTTAAATTGTTTGATTTCCTCTTTTAGCAAAATATGGTTGAAGATGAGCTAGTAGGTAAGCGCTTCCTTGGCTGAGGATGGATGGCACTCTCAGCCAGTGGAGTAGTGTGGGCTGATATCTCCTTGCCACGAGATGTTTTCAGACCCTGGCAGGTCTCCAGTAGGCCTTGGCTCCCCAGATATTTCATGCTGCTTGCCACTCTGTTGGTGTTCCGGGGAACTTTGTTTACTTTTGTGAGAGTTGGGGGCTCGTTTTATGCTAGAGAGTTCTGGTTGTACCTCAGATGAAGAGGGAGCTATCTTAAGGTTTTGGAGTCTGTAGAGAATGAAGTATGCCTGAAGATAACTGGAGCTTTGTGGCACTTAAAACACAGTGAAGAGTCCCTGTGAATGCTTAGGAGAGTGACTTTAGCCCCTCCAGTTTGTAATCCTACCTCTAGCTTTCTAGCCCCAAGGGGAAGCATTTACAAATATCGCATAAGAGCTGCTGCCACCATGAGGATGAAGTGATTCATTGCAAGGTCTCCACATGACATTTTGGGGAAATCTCATTCAATGCTGTTTAAAAGGCACCCATATTTCCATGCCATTTCAAGTTCTGTTTCAGGTCCCTACTATCTCATGCCTAAAGTAACTACCCACATGGTTTGTTGCCTCCACATTTAATATTTCCCCATTCCTTTCTAGGTTCTACCGGGTGGTACCACTAGATTAATCTTTCTGAGTAATCTCTTTATCCTGTCACACCCCCTTTGGTGGTGTCTCATTGCCTAACAGAGTTATAATTTACCATCCTGGCATTCAGCACCCTTTGAAGTCTGACCTTTACTCATCTTACCACGGTCTCCACACATTTTGTACCCCATCCTTCCCCTTTCCAAATCTGTGCTGTTTTAAATCCTTCCCTCTTCTGTGCCTATGCTCACACTGTCTCTTCTGCCTGAATGCCTTCCGCCTCCCCCACCCCCGGGCCAGCAGTCATTCTGTCAAAATCTCATCCATCCTTTGTGGCACAATTCATTTTGCTCTTTGTCTAACTTGCCCTCTTAGTCACTACCAATAGAGAGACTGTTCTTTAGATTAGACCGTTAATTTATTTGATTGATTTGTGTACATTGTAGATAGCTGTGTGCCTGTCACCTGTCCCTCAGGCAATTGTAAGCTCATTGAGGGTAGGGTTCAGTGCCTTGAACATCTTGTATCTGTACGGTAGTGTGAAGAAATGATTGGGGGCAGGTGTTAAATGATGGGGGGGGGGCAGTTGAGAGGAAGAGCATACTCGACCAAGGGCAGAAACATATAAAGGGACTGCTAACAATCACTGATGCGTAGGTAAGGGCAGACCGGGTAGGCGTGAGAGCAGCCCTGTCATTGCGTTTGCATGTGAGTCCACCACAACTGGATGTCAAGGAAAGTCAGTTCCCCAGCATGTAGGGAACTTATCAGCCAGGTGGTGGGGTATGCTGCAAGCAGTGCTCTTCTGTGTTTTTTTGCTCTGTTCAGGATATTCAATTCTGAGCAAGTCCTCTTTCTAGAGGTAATATGTTATTATGTAATGGTGAGATTGTACCAAGTGCAGTGTGTATGGCAAGCAGTATGGTTGATGGAGTTTATACTAAGTGTTTAGGTGAAGACGGGTGAGGGGGACAGCAAAAAAAAAAGAGGGGGGGACTTACAACTAGCAGACTCATGGGTATATCTCATTGTGCTGCTCTGATCATTTTCCTTCCCCCACAGAACAATATGGTACATCTTCAAAAACCCACACTAATTCTCAGCAGGGAACATCGTAAGTAAAATGCTTTTGTTTATTAAAAGTTTATAATGTAACATTGTAATTACCCATGTAAATCCATTGCTTAAAAAATTTTTTTTCCCCTACTGCTTTCAAGTAATGACTTGCATAAACTACCACTGGATTGTAAAAGGAAGTAATGCCCTACATTTATACTTGGATTAAGGTCTTCTGTTGAAGGTTCAGGTACTACAAGAGTTTGCTAAGGGGCTTTCTCAAAAGAAAGGCATTTGAGGCATTCTTTACATATTAACTGTGGAAAAAGAAATTTTAGCTTTGTAAATTTCAGTCTTAAATAGCTTTTGCGTTGGAAAACAAATTTTGGAGGATGTGTACAATTTATGATTTTTTTGCCACTTTTTTGGCCTGATTTTAACTAATAAAGAACAAATCCTGTTGCCCAGCTGTTCTTGATTAAGGGCAAGTTAAGTTCAGATACATTTGGGGGTTTTTGCAACACTTTACATAATAAAAATTTGGGTCCAAATCAGCATTTGGACCCGATTTGTCATTTCTTGATGGCATCAAAGTGATACTTCTTTCTTTTCATACAACTGCAAAGGGTTTTTAGGAACAAGGTGATACTCCAGTATCTAATCAGTGACAAGTCACTGATACTCCAGTACTCCCAGTCACTGGGAGCTGCCAGCCTCCCAGGATTTCAGATATATGCTCCAGCTTGGCTCTGGGCAGTGTTTGTTCCATGTATCTTGGAAGGGGTCATTGCTATGGGTTGAATATTTTTGAAAAGCTGTGTAGTCGAGGCAAAGAGGTTATATTATCTTTTCACCATGACTGAGTGTGGGACCTGAGTTAAATCACTGCCAAGTGCCAGCCCCTCGATGTCCTGTTCAATTCTCCATCGCAAAATAAGAGAAAAAGAACAATATAACAAGATTTTTTAAAACAGTAATTTATTGTAGTTTGAAGGATGGACTTTTTTGTACATGTAATAAAAATTATTTCATTTGTGGTACTGGCAGATGGTGAGATTTTTGCTTGTTTTTATTTTCCTTTACCAGAAAAAGAATTTTTTTTTAAAGCTATGTGCCTTTTCTTCCCTTTTTTCCCCTCTTTTTTTTTTCTTCCTTCCTTTTTAAATTTTACTGGCTGCTGAATTCTGGAGGTCTGGAATAAGGAGGAGGTTTGTTAAACTAATGGCTGGTAGAGAATAGAAACGTAGCTTGAGGGACCACAATTCTAATGATTCTGTGGAGGCTCTAACTTCCCCCAAGGCTTTACACCTTGTGATCTTTGTAATGATTGGTAGTAAAGTCCTTTAGACCGTGAAAGGTCCTTGTCAGTGTCTTTGGGGGCAGCTTGCATCCCCCTTGGCAATAAGAATAGAGCAGTGGTCTGTGGTCCCTACAGAGCAGTGTGTGGAGGCAGCAACACGAAGAGAAGGAACCCGCTGTGTCCTTAGGCCTGTGGGTAGAGGAAGAAAGGCAGCTGGATGTGAGGCAGGGCAAAGTTACACCCTCTTACACCCATTTTCATCAGCTTTCAGGCTCGAGTAGTTAGACCATTTTCTTTTTCTTTACTAAAGATTTTATTCATTTATTCATGAGAGACACAGAGAGGCAGAGACATAGGCAGAGGGAGAAGCAGGTTCCCTGCGGGACTCAATCTCAGGATCCCGGGATCACGATCTGAGCCAAAGGCAGATGCTCAACCACTGAGCCACCCAGGTACCACGGACTTGGACTGTTTTCTATGACAGTTTTGCTTCTCAGAGAGATAAGCAGTTCTCCTGCTGAGTTAAACCACAGAAATCAAAGGTGCCTGAAAGTGTGTGACAGGTATACTTGTATCTTCTGACATACGTAGCGCTTCCTGTACAAAACTATTCATTTGCCATATATAAAAGTATAGTTACCTAGAAAATAATATTTATTATGATCCTGATAGATTGAAGGAGGAGAGGAAAGCAAGGCCTCATGGAAGTGAAGAGGAAGGGAAGCATGACAGAGGAGAGAAAGTAGTACCAGGGCTCAGTAGATGATGAAAGTGGTGTGGTTGTGTTTATCCGGGGCTGGGGCTGCTGGTATTGATAAGTGCCAAAGCAACTCTGGGAAAAAGGAATCACTTTAGTGTTCCAATTAATTTGTAAAGTGCAATCGTTGTATCATATTTAGTATGTCACATCTGTTAGTGCTCACAGGTTAATTTAATCTAGTGTCAACATTAAGTTCTTTGACATTCAGTTAAACTATTTGAGAGGCAGAGTGCCAGAGAGGTGGTCTAATGCACTTTGTATGTCAGAGAAAAAAAATGTTCATTTCAGGGTCATGTGTACTATGGTTTTTAAAATCAATCTAGGTCTTTATGCTTTTATCTTTCAGTTGCTAGTACTTGGGAATCCTTAGATCTATTGTTTTCTGGACTGAGCTCCAGGTGACTTGGAGAGATTTCCAAAAATTGCTTCCATTTATCCATTCAGAGCATAAACCAGTGAACATGCTGTGTGTCTGGTGCTGCTTGAGGTACTTGGAAACAGGGGCCACTAAGAAAATTCTTATCTTCTATGTCTTGTAACTTAATGCTGGTGACATGTCATGCAAACTAGGTGATGTGTGGTGACAGGCTTCAGGAGCAATTCTTTTGGGTGGTGGTGATAATTTTGGGAGGGAGGTCATGAAAGATCTCTTAGATGAGGGGACATTTGATCTGGTGCCTGAATGATAAGAGAGGGAGGCAGAGAATTTCTGCCAAGGCTTAAGGGGCCTGATAGATTTTGCAGCAGGCCCTGAAGCCATTTGAAAACATTGGGGGAATAGTAATTCTTAACTGGAGTGACAACTTTGAAGTAAGTAGTTCTTTGCGTATGCAAAACATAGTTTTGGGGGAGCCTCTGGAGGTCCATTTTAGTCTCATATTTGATCATGACTGCTGGGCAGCCCGGGTGGCTCAGCGGTTTAGCGCCACCTTCAGCCCAGGGCGTGATCCTGGGGTCCCAGGATCGAGTCCCAGGTCGGGCTCCTGCATGGAGCCTGGTTCTCCCTCTGTCTGTGACTCTGCACCTCTCTCTCTCTCTCTCTCTCTCTCTCTGTGTGTGTGTCTCATGAATAAATAAATAAAATCTTAAAAAAAAAAAGGTGATCATCACTGCTAATTTCCTGCAGTAAGTGACCATAGGCTAATTTAAACAGGGACTGAAAGATTGAATATGTTTTAATTCACTAAGAATCTGTTAGCCCCCAGGCAATTTGTGTATTCCGCCCACTGTAGGGTGCTAGACTATTACATCAACAAGATGTGGTCTACTTCCCTAAGAATGTATATTCCGTCTCCCCCTACAAGGGCCTCCAAAGCCCACCAGTAACTTACCTGTCTAACCTCCTTTGCTGTCCTTTTCTCCCCATACTCTGGCATACTTTCCATTGTGGTCATGTTGGCCTCCTTACTGGCTGTCGTCTTTCTTTTTCTTTCTAGATTTTATTTATTTGAGATAGAAACAGAACACAAGTAGGGGAAGGGGGGCGGGGGCAGAGGGAGAAGGAGAAGCAGGCTCCCTGCTGAGCAAGGAGCTTAATGTGAGGCTTGATCCCCCAACCCTGAGATCATGACCTGAACCGAAAGCAGGTAAACTTAACTGATTGAGCCACCCAGATGCCCCTTCCTTGCTGTTTTCTATGCCCTAATCACTCTACCCCTTATTCCCGCAGTGGATGCCATCCCCTTATCAGTGCAAATTTCCCTGACTACCCCATGTAGAAAAACAACCTATACCCATCTTCACTCTTTTATTCCCCTCCATAGGCTTTTTACCCATTGGAAAGGTAAACTTTTTTCAGCAGTAATTTTTCTAGGTTTTTCCTGTTTGTCCAGTATGTCATTCTTGCATTAACATCTTATTTGTCATACTTGTTTTTTTAAAGTAATCTTTCCACCTACCATGGGGCTCAGACTCACAATCAAGAGTGACTCCCAAGATCAAGAGTCCCACGCTCTACCCACTGAGCCAGCCACACACTCCTGTCATACTTACTGATTTAATCTTACTCACTTCAAATTTCCCCTCATTTATATACTCTTATAATTTTTCTCATGTCCTTAGGTGACCTCGGATAATCTTCACTTCATCCATGGATTTTAAATAGTCCTTTACACTAATGACAAGGTTTACTTTGTCAACCATAATCTTGAATACTGTATCTCCTGTCACTGTCCTCTCTGTCTTGTGTATCCATAACCTCCCATAGACAGTGTCTCCATGAATTTGAATAATGCCAACCACTGCCACCATTTGGAGAGAGTTCCCCTTGGATATAGTGTCACAACTGCTGGAGATTTGCCTTTTCAGCTTTTCATTTATTATATGTGGAGACTTCTTCATACTTTGTAGCCTTCTGTCCTCTCCTGCAAAGCATTTGTAGTCCTTATTTCCGCCCTTGATCAAAAAAGGGAATCACAGCCTGATTGAATTTTAAATTTGGGGAATTAGGTATATATGCTCTGGAGCTGAACCTTTTTCTCCCCACTCCGTCGCCTATTCTATTCCCCATGTCAGTTTGAAGTTTGTGAGATTGTTGAAGTTCACACACTCTCACGTGTTCATTAGCGGTTTCTGAAAAGTATTACTTGCCATCTTAACCACACCTAATACCAGGGTTGTGACTTATTAATTACTGCGAGCTTGCCTTCACTTGCTCTTTCCCAAATAAAATGTATGGCCTGATCTTAGGAAACATTGAGCCAAAAAAATTAACGTATTTAAGTAGTTTTTGGGTTTGAATTGAGATGTTACAGAATATTGGCAGTGAAGTCTTTGGCAAGCCCAGGACTGGGGAATGGGAAAGGAATAAAGGCTTGTCTTGTGTGTCTTCACACAGTAACATTTGGGCTCTGACTCACTGAAGCCTCTGTGCCGGAACCTGTACGTGGCTCTTTAAGCTTTGCAGAGCAGCTGCCTGAAGAATGCATTTGTACAAAGGGGTTTAAGGATTGTTTCTAACCTTTAAGTAAAAACTCTACCTCACCAGTAATGTAAAATGTGGTCACACCTACGTGTTAGTTCAAAGAGTTGCCGTACCTGAGTATTTGGCTTCTTTTGAACAGTGCCAAGGTAGGCTGTATGGTGACCTATGCTTTGAAATAACTGCTTTGTCTTGGTGTTTGGAAGTGAAATTAGTCATTTAACCAACTTTTAAAGTATGTAAGGCTTATAGTTCATTTATTTTCATAAGAGAAAAATAGTGTATTCATTTTATTCCAACAGGATAATTATTGTTTTCTTTTAAATCAAAGTCTTTCAGGGATCCTGGAGCTTAGATACTCCTCCCTATCAGGTAGGTTTTCTCTAGCCATTGTGCCCTCTATTGGCTGGAGCAAGGCAAGGCGATCGTAGAAGGTGGAATGGCTGTTGGATTCCAGATCCAGCATGTACCAGCTTCATGATCCTAGGCAGGCTCGGTGGCTGTTCTGAGCCCGTTTCCTCTCCCTCAGACTGCGAGGGGATGATCAGAGGAAAGGCAGCCTTCAGGGTTGTGCGTAAAGGCAGTGTCGGTAGAGTTCTGATCACTCAGTGGGCACAGCTATGTGTTACTGTTATTCAGCAAAAGGGTTGCTGTTCATTCAACTGGCCTTGTAGGATACCTGCCAAGTTCTGCATATAGATGATATGAAGGTGAAAATGACTTGGTCCTGCCCCAGAAAAGTTTACAATTGAGCAGTTGAGTATGTCTTTTGGGCCTTATGCTCTCTTGACCTAGATCTTACTGGTATGAGTGAGGTCTGAGAAATTTGATTCCCTTCTGGTGGGTGCAGAGGTAGTCACCCATATGTGCTGTGATTAGTTTTGCTGTTTTTCACATGAAGGACCAATTCTCCTACATAGACTATGTGAAGTGTGGTAGAGTAATGTGCTTGGCCTCAGGCCTGTTTGTGAGACAAGTAGGGGATTTTAGCAGCTGCTTCCTTTACATTTTTTCCTTATCTCTAAAAATAGAACCATTACCTGTTACTAGGTTAGATTTCCCCCAACTACATAGATTCTTTTTTTATTTAAATCCCAATGGCATTCATGATTAATTTTCTGTATTAGTAAAACTTAGATATGGTTTTTAAGTAACTTTTCTTTGTACTTACTTTTTATTACAGATTCAGTACATGTTTGTTATAAAATACTTTAGAAGTTAATCTTGCTGGTTTATGTTAAGCTGCCCATCTGGTGATATAATAAACTGTGGTTTCTGGAAGATGCTGTGGTTTCTCTTGGCAGGGTTGGTAGACACTGATAATACACTTTGTCAATTTTTGCACTGGGGTGCCTGGCTGGCTCAGTTGTTAGAGCATGTGACTCTTGATCTTGGGGTCATGAGTTCAAGCCCCACATTGGGCCTATTAGAGCTTACTCTTAAAAAAAAAAACAAACTGATTTTTTGCATCAAATAAATTGTACCGTGAATTTTGATGAGATGAAATACCATGTGTAAATAACCAGTATATCCCACATAAGGGGTAGATTTGTTTGACCCTGTGGGTTTATCATTGCTTTTTGAGTGAATGTTTCTTTGGAGATATCTGGAGCATTCTTCCTTCAGAGGTCACTGTCCCTCATCTCTTTAGGTGTCATACCTGCAGGGATATTTTGTCATTGTCTACGTAAGGCTCTGAAGGGGAAATTCTCAGAATCTGGGACAGCATTTTTACAGTCCCTTTTATTCCCTAAGAGCAAGGAGAGCTAAAAGTCAGAACATACACTTTCTGACTTTAGGAGAACATATTTGTGGAAGCCAGCCAGACAGCTTACAGCATATTTAGCCTTCTGCTTACAACAGGAAGTGTGATTGGTTACCTGATTATTGATGTTTCAGGAAATTAAAGCAAGTTAGTTTTGTATAAAACCCAATGACTAAGAAACAAAGAGCTCCACTTATTGTGGTTTTGTTGGTAGTGGTCAATATTGGGTACACTGTCAGGTTTAGTTTTTGTTTTTCCATGGTTGTGTTGTACCCTACATTTATTCAAAGGTACATCTTTTTATCTTTTGCTTGGGTATGCCCCAGCCAAACCAGGACTTGGCAGTAACACCATTGAGTGACTTGTTCTTATATACTATTATGATATCTACTACCAAATCCTGCATCTGAAGGCTGCGTTTTCTAGCCTTGCTAAAATAAGAAGTTAGCTCTCATTAGATAAATATTGAGCAGCATCTACATTTACAAGTAGCTAACAGTTTTCATATTTTTTAGAAACTTATTGCGGATAGTTTTAGTACATTTGTTGGTGAAAATATTTCCTTGGTAGAATTACAACATTGCATGTAGGTGGTCATTATGAAAGAGCCAAGTTTTATCATTTATTTTCATTAGAAAATATAATGATTTTACCAAGGATTCCCAAAATAATCATGCTTACTTACTTCAGTGGCAGGTTAGTGGGTTTGCAGTAAAAATCAGATTATTGAAGAAGTATTTTATTTTAATTAATTAATTTATTTGAAGAAGTATTTTTAGAAATACTAAAGGATTATAACTTCCAATTCAATTTTGCCTTTTGGAGCATTAATGATACTTAAGGAGATTGGTTGTTTTTTTGTTTTGTTTTGTTTTTCATTTGCACATTTCCTCCAGTAGTCATGCTCATAAATTTTGGGGGAAATGGGAGCAAGCAGTTTAATGAAGGATTGATTCTTTTGATATTTAGGCATCCCCCATGGAAGATGGTAAAAGAGGGAGGAGATAGGGAAGGGCTAAGATTTCAGGAAACACATGCAGATTGAAAATGGCTTTTTTAAAAATCAAAATATAATGTTTGCTTTTAATATTCAGGTTGATCATTAACCAGAATGCCTAGAGAAGTATTACAATAACTTTGAGGAAGCGAACTGAGCTTTTATATTTTCACTAGAATGACACCTGTAAAGTTAAGCATATTTTCTAGACAATAATAATATTTGTATATTCTACTCTTTCAGCTCGTTAGTGTTTAAGCAGACTCTGTTTGAGAATTTGTATGGGGGGGCAGTGAAAAATAAAGTTCGGTATTAATAATGTCCTTTGGACGAAGCTGTAAGAAGCCTGCACTGTTTGGTGACAGTGGCCTCTGTAGCTTCATCTGCCTTACTAGGTACTGAGCTGACATAGAGCACTTTTTTCTTGAGTCCCTTGGCACCGTTTTCAGCACTTGACAGATATTCACTTCTCCAGGGTTAGCTAATGATTAATCATTTATTCTATAGAGTATAGAATAAAATAGAGTGTATTTGGCGTATTTTTTCTCTTTGTGGTTGTCACTGTTTGTCTTGTTTGTGTGGGCATGGGAACATGAGTCCTGAGGCTGGCCACAAGGCCCTGTCTCATGGTATTTCTGCTTTTTAATGCTCAGAACGTGTGAAAGAGTGAGTCTTGAGATGGTAAGGAGCCTGGACTGTGTTATAAAGGTAAAACTTAAATTTCCAGGAAAATGAGACATTTGATGAATAAATAAAAATTAGACCGTATCCCATCTCTTTTTTTAGTTATTAAGCATATTTTCTATTTATATGCTAAAAGAAATTATTAGAAATTATTTTAAATCCTCCAATGTCTTTGTCTCTGCCCATTTCAGCATGCTTGAAGATGACCTTCAGCTCAGTGACAGTGAGGACAGTGACAACGAACAAGTAAGTTTTGTACACCCCATAATACCAGGGATCCTTTTAAATCTAGTATTTCTGAGCTGCTTATCCTAATCTGTTTTTTGTTCTTTTCCTGGTCCTTCTTCCCCTTATTGTGAATCCCTAGAGCCCAGAGAAACCTCCTCCTGCGTCTGCACCTCCCAGGTATTGTGTGCATGTGTGAACAAAATGTGCATTTTTCTACCAAATGGGAAAAATACAGCTTTATTTAGAGCTTTCATAGCTGTTTCCTAGGGAAAGACATGAAGGATTACAGAAGAAAGTACCTGTTTAATTTTTTGGAAGCTTAAATAAGCCTAGAGAGGTTGTTAACTCTATAAAAGAAAGTCCCTGTACCCACCTAAATCATCAGTTTAAAATTTTTGAGACTTTATGGGTGGCTCAGTCAGTTGAGTATCTGCCTTTGGCACAGGCTATATCTTGGGGTCCAGGTTGTGATCTCGGGGCCTTGGGATGGAACCGGGAGACTGCTTCTTCTTTCCCTCTGTCCCTCCCCCTCGCTCCTTGCTTTCCTCTCTTTCTCACTCTCTCAAATAAATGAATAAAATCTTTAAAAATATATAAAATTTTTGAGAGTTTAAAAATAAGCTCATCACTTTTTTCAGTACTATATGACCAGTATTTTCAAAGTTATGCTGAAGAGCCCAATGTTTGTATGAAAATTTTTATGGAGATTTATTTGCTCTTTTCAGAAGTTGTAAAACTGAATCATTTCTAGAAATTGTTTTCCATAGTACCTGTTTTCCCAGTCATGAATTTCTATAAGATTTCTTTTTTTTTTTTAATTTTTATTTATTTATGATAGTCACAGAGAGAGAGAGAGGCCGAGACACAGGCAGAGGGAGAAGCAGGCTCCATGCACCGGGAGCCCGATGCGGGATTCGATCCCGGGTCTCCAGGATCGCGCCCTGGGCCAAAGGCAGGCGCCAAACCGCTGCGCCACCCAGGGATCCCCAGTCATGAATTTCTAATTGTTTTAGTTGCCTTCATTTTATTTTATTCTATTTGATTTCACAAATAGATTTTTTTTTTAAAGATTTTTATTTATTCATGAGAGAGAGAGAGAGGCAGAGACACAGGCAGAGGGAGAAGCAGGCTCCATGCAGGCAGCCTGACGTGGGCCTCGATCCCGGAACTCCAGGATCGTGCCATGGGCCGAAGGCAGGCGCTAAACTGCTGAACCACCCAGGGATCCCCAATAAATAGATTTTTAAGTAATCTCTATACCCAGCAGGGGGTTGAATCCACAACCCTAAGAACAGGAGTTGCGTACTCTCCCAACTGAGCCCAGTCAGGTGCCCCTCAGCTGCTTTTAAAAATGACCTAAAATACATTTTAGAGTGATGGAAAATGGCAGTATTTTTACTTTGTAAACAGTAGCCATATTTCAGAAAATAAAATGCTTTAATTTTTGGAAATGGGAGTTACTGGAACTGCCTTTATAATATTTTCCTCTGGTACTGAATTTACCAGTATATATGCCAGTATATACTGGTGTGTATATATATATATATATATATTTTTTTAATTTATTCATGAGAGACACACACAGAGAGAGAGAGAGAGAGAGAGAGAGAGAGGCAGAGACATTGGTAGAGGGAGAAGCAGGCTCCATGGAGGAAGCCCGATGTGGGACTCAATCCCAGGACCCCAGGATCATGCCCTGGGCCAAAGGCACGTGCCAAACCTCTGAGCTACCCAGGGATTCCCCGTATATACTGGTATATTAATGAATATACCAGTACCTGCCTTCCATGGACAGAGTTAAACTATGCTATCGCTGTTGTACTTCTTGAGATGGAGTCATCCATTCTGAAGCTCAGCACTAAAACCTTCCTGTCAAGCAGGTGATGTTAGAGTTCATGTGAAGGAAGATCATGTATTCATAAGCTCTACTCATTTATTTATATTCTATTCTGTTCAGTAATTTTTCATGGCTTGTAATAACCCAAAAAATTATGACGAGCCTAACTTAAAAGTTGAGGAAAAGAAAAGAGGAAAGATGGGCATAAATTAGAAGCAGGAATAGCATTGAAAGTGCATCTCATTCCATTCATCACTGACTTAAGTTACCAGTGCGAAAAGGACCACAAACTTGATGTAGCATTTTTATATGAGGAAATTATAGCATAGTGTGTGTGTTTTAAAATTACTTCAACTAGTGACTTTAATTTTTTTTTCTACTTACTAAACAATTTTATTAGGTCACTATTTTAGGTAGATGTGGAGGCTTTCAAGATTATAGTTATTGATTTACTGCTCTGGCCGATTCCATCTGGGGCATGACAAGCTATGAAATTCTGTGTGTGTCCAGCAGTGCGATTAGCATGTGTTTTCTCACTGACCTAGAGTTATTGCCCTATTCTTAAAACTTGGAGTGGTTAATTTCTATTTTGGCTGGTGTTTGAGGGTTATCCTAAGCCACTCATTAAAGAAAGGCCTCTTTTACATTGCTGCCTAAGAGTGTGATTGGATTACCTTTGAGGTCACTTACCAGAGGAACACCATTTTTATTCAATATATTCAGTAATTCTCTGGCTACCATTTGTTAGTTTTCATATAGAAAATAGAGGGAAATTTTAATGTATTGGCCGTTCTTTTATAAATTAACTTTTGGGCTAAAATGTACCCAATTAAAGTAAACTTTTAAAGCGTCAGAAAGTAAATATTTTAGGCTTCGTGGGCTACATACCCTGTCTTAAAACTATTCAGTTCTACTTCTGTAGTATAAAAGCAGACACAGACAATATATAAAATAATGAGTGTGGACATGTTCCAGTGAAACTTTATTTAGAAAAACAGGCAGCCTGTCCATGTTGGGGTTTACCAACTTCTGATACAAAGCATTACCATCGAATGTAAATTTTGTATAGCTCAAAATGTTCTTCAGGAGCAAAATTCCCACAGGCTTTTCTTTTATGTAGTTATTTGGTGAGCTATTTTAAGGATTTTTCACTGGGTTTTGAGCCACCATGGGCTTTTCCCTCAACTGGATGATAATGGTGATTTAGTAATATGGAGGCCCTTGCTTTTGAGTAGCAGAAAAATGATCAAGAGGTTGGAAATGAGTAGAGAGGGAGAAAAAGAAATCCACCTTTGAGGTGTCTTCAGAGTCTCTCTCCGGGTTGCTTGCTTCGCAGTGCTCCGCAGTCGCTTCCAGAAGCAGCGGCCTCAGCACATTCCAGTAGTGCCGAGTCAGAGAGCACCAGTGACTCAGACAGCTCCTCGGACTCCGAGAGCGAGAGCAGCTCAAGTGACAGCGAAGAGAATGAGCCCCTAGCAGCTCCGACTCCTGAGGTACCGTGTCCCCTCCAGGAGGCAGAGAGGCAGTCTAAGATGGCAGCGTTCTGTCCTTTGGGGCTAGCGTCCACTGTGGGCCAGCACTGACCATGGACTGAGTGGTTCTGTCCCACGGGCACCTCTCTCCTACTCTTGTGCTGTGTAGAGCCGAGACAGCTATTTCTATTTACTTCTTACAGACATGTGGCAACAGAGGTTTGGGAGAGAGGCCTTTCTCTCCTATTTAAAATAATATGTTCTTCTCTGTCATTGCTAGTGTTGTTTGGAAGAGTAACTCATTAAGAAATGTTTGCACACCATTTCCTTTTCCCTTCTGTTGCGCCAAAAAAAAAAAAAAAAAAAACCCACACAAAAAAAAAACCCAAACTTGTTTTTTAGTAGGCTGCTGTTATAATACTAATGAGAATTCTTTTTGAAATTTCAGGAATGCATGAATTAAGGAAATCAAAAGGAGACAGCCCAATTTAGCAAAGGACAAGAACATGAACTAGAAATAAGTCGTCAGAGCTTCTATTTTTGAATCACTAAAAGCCATGCATTAAATTGATGGCAAAGTGATTTTACCAGGGCTGTGTTTCTTGCTCCCTTTGCTCCATGTAAAACAGGAATAATTGTGTTTGCCTGTCACCCCTACCCTTGGGAGATATTGTAAGATAAACAGATGAGATGGCAAAATCTCAAGCACTAAGTATATCTGGAGGATTTATACTACTTTTTACTGGATTGTTTAATGCAAGAAGTCTAGTAACAATCAGGGTTGTCAGATGCCCTCAAAACTTGGAACAGTGATGTAAAAATTATGCTGGGGAAGACTACCTCGTGGAAAGGGAAGAAAGACATTTTTGGTGAACTAGTCCAGCTTCTATAGAGAAAATAACTCTGCATATTTTAGACGGGAATCCTGGGAAATGAGCTTTTCTGATTAAGAAAGCATTAAAGTTCCCAGTATTTGTCTCTGCTATTTAGCAATCAAGGCAGTTCCACTAGACCATTAACTGAATACATCTGGAGAACATGTAGTGAGCCTTAACAGCCATGTCTGAGAGCAAGAGAAACTGGAAAAAGAACTCCCAAGTCATTTTTTTGTTGTTGTTAGATACGAATTTATGTCTGACACAAAGTAAGTGCTCAATAAATATTTTCTGGAGTGAATAAACATGAATCAGCATTAACTGCACTTAAAATGCCTTTTAGATTGTAGGAACTACTCTGTGTATATCCGGGGGCTGTTTCCTTGTGTGATACTAATCACTGTTGAAATAATTTTTCTGTGCCTCAGGGAAAAAGATATTGAATATGCTGTGCAGACAAATTGTGTGTTTGTTCCTTGTTTATAAGATCTTTGCTTTATGTCTCACCTTATTCAATTAGAAAAATCTGCATGCTTCTTTGGTTACTAAAAGAAGGAAGATAATTGAATTAAATAATAGAATTCAGTTCAAGTAAAATGGAAACGGTACAGATTTGGCTGAATAATTGAAACTTGAAAGAAGAATTTAATCTGGTGTTTGTATTAACTAAACCATTATATCTTATTGCTCAAAAGGTTACTGGAATAAATTTAGAGACTCTTAGTTGAAAAATAAATGTTCCCATCCCACTTTTTTTTTTAATCGCCTTACAAATAGTCTGATATTTGTATGTTTGTGTTGACGAGCAAATCTATCTAGACTTGGGTACAGTTTGTGTGTCATTTCCTGACACTTGATTTCACCAGAAATATTTTGTCTGGGTCTAGATTTTAAACCTTTCATTTCCCCCAGTGTATTTAACTACCTTCTTTCCTTTTAAAAGGAATACCCGCTTTATTGTAAATGTGAGAGTAACATGAATTCCACAATAAGCCACAGTTACTAATTTTAACTTTCTCACCTTTTTTAAAATCTATTTTTAATGCTGAGAATTTTGCTTTTTATGGCTCTGTTTTCAGTTCATTTGACAAAGTAGTCCAGTGATCTTATAAGATCTAAAATGTCCTATGCCTGTCAGTGGGCTGGCAGTGAACAAGGGGGGAAAGCCGCTTTTAGCTCTGCTTTATAGTGTGAAACGAAACGTAAATCTCAGCTTTTCACAATATGTGGGACACATCGTCTTTTACTGCTTTGGTTCAGAAAAAAATGCTTCTCTTCTCAGTTATTCAGGGATCTACTTAGTTTCCTAATCTGTTCACTGTCCAGTTTTTTGTTTTTGTAATAAACGACCTTTGTTGATTTTTCAACACCAAGATTCAGGCCCATAGCCATCTAATCCTGTAGCCTTTTTTCCTACTATACCATACTTCTCTTCATTTTCTTTTTCTTTCATTTTAGGATTCATACTCAATGACGATGTTTTTACTAAAAAAATGTAGACATTTGTGCATAGTTTATAACTTTTTCTTCAATATCACAATTCAGCCTAAAATGAACTTCTGACAATTTGAGGAGTTAGGGACAGGTAAAGGGACATGCAATTCAAACATTTATTAAAATGCCTAATGAAAAAAAAGGAAAAAAAAATTAAAAAATGCCAAATGAAAACCAATCCGATATTTTTTTTCACACCTGATGTGCAGCGTTTGGGTTGTGCCAGCCCAGGGTGGCTGTCGGTGGGGCACGGGGCAAGGTAGGGCAAGAAAACAAAGTCCAGACCTTAATCCTATCCGGCACTTGGACTTAAAATTCATTTTAGAATCTATTTCAATCAGTCCCTTATGTAAAAAGTTTTCCCCATCTCAACACCCAAATATCTGACCTTAAAAGAATTCTATACATTTTCCCATCTTTATAGCAGGTCTGTAGAAAGGACTGGCCCTACTGATTCTCCTTGCCTGGGCAGATAAACTCAATTTTACCCTGCAATTGGGCCATATGCCTCCCCTTCTGGACATTTTTAGGACCACAGTGGAAGAAAATGTGTTTTATTTCTGTAATCAGGACATTCCTTTAGTAGGACATCCCTACTAAATGTATCTTATACTGCCCTGTTTTGGGGTGGGGGAGAGCAAATGTTATTTATACCAGGAATGACTTTCCTTTTTGGTTCACGAATAAATACTCTGTCAGTGATTCAATTGGGGCTGTAAACTTAGCCCTGGTGAGAGATCCATTCCCTTCCCAAGAAAGGGTTTGAAGGGTTTGGTTCCTTAGGTGAATGGCAAGTGATATATCCTAATGTCTTGTCCCGGGTTAGCCACCCAGATTACCATACCCTCAAGTGTTTGCAGGAAATATCATTTGACAAGTAGGTATTGGGTGCTAATCTTTTCTCCACCCTTAACCATCATCCTGTCTTGTTAGAATATGGACTATAGTTTTAGATTTCCTGTGGCAAAATAAATGCCTGGCACATTGGAGTAGTTTCCTTCTTGCTTCCTCCCTGCTCTGAAATTCAAATAAGAGTCTGGGTATACAGAGTTGATCCTGAAGGAGACCTATTATATTAAGCAGCAATAAGAGGTAGCCAGAAATAAAACAGTTTTGCAGCCCTCTTTGTGGCCAAAGTTTGGTCCTCCCAGGTTCCTTAAAGTTCCTCTTCTGTTGTAATTACACCAAGCCCAAACTACCTACCTGGTCATTTTATTACCTTTTTCCTGGCCGAAAACTCTTTACATTATATCCACACATCCTGATATATTAGGTTGTTGTGTTTTTATAGAGTTGAATAATTTGGGACGTTCTTCTTGGGAAAATTGTTAGCAGTCCTCCCTGTAAAATATCATCCCCCTACTAGAGTGATCTCCTTATCCATAATCTAACCTGTTAAATCCCATGTGGAGTGTCTTTCATTTAATTTCCTGGTGCTTTGTGTATATGAGTTAGTCATTCATACAAGCCACCTATCAGAATGAATGGATCTTAAAAACATGTAGCATAATGGTGATGTACCATCACCATTTATTTATTTATTTTTTAAAAATATTTTATTTATTTATTCATAAGAGACACAGAGAGAGATAGAGAGGCAGAGACACAGGCAGAGGGAAAAGCAGGCTCCATGCAGAGAGCCCGAAGTGGGACTCGATCCCGGTTCTCCAGGATTCCGCCCTGGGCTGAAGGCGGCGCTAAACCGCTGAGCCACTCGGGCTGCCCTGTACTGCCCTTTTAAAAGATGTGATCATTGCTTACTGTATTAGATATGAATATGTTTCCGTATGGCATAAGTATAGATACATCAATAGGTCGGTAGAAATGCTCAAGTTAATATCTCATGTATAGCACTATATGCAAGATAATAGTGGAACTTGGAGATAGAAATGCCATTGGGTCTTCTGTTAATAATCTACTTGGAGAGATGAGTTGGGATACATCAAGAGCAACAAAGATTTTAACAGGATATCAGAAGTCAGAAACTTCTGTTCGTTCATCAGATGTATATATAATCAGTATAATCTCACTGCTTTTAATTGTGTGCTGTGGAGTCTCCCTGTGTTTCTCAGAAAAATAGATGTTATTTCAGATAAGATTGTCTGTAACAGGAGACTTAATGTTTGATTTTTAAAGAATTCAAGTGGGACTAACTTTAGGTGGGTTACTGTGACTTCACTTACTCTTTACCAAGGCGTAAAATTTGAAAGTCAGGCTGTTATCCATGATATACTGCAAACCTTGTCAAGTATCAATGTTTAATGTTTTTAAGTAAGTAAAAGTAATGCAATCAAGTCTTCAGGAAAGTCATTTTCAGTTGAAAAGTTAGGTCCAAAAAAGGGGGTTAAAGCCTATAAGTAATCACTAAGAATTAGTCTATTCACTAGCCTTCTGAAAATCCTCTTTATAAAAGGATTCTGTTTATTCATTTCTCCCTTTATTTTCTGATAGTTTACAAACCAAAATAATGTGTCAATTCTGTCTAAATTATAATTACCATTAGGACAAAATACTTCATATTACGAAGATTTCTCAGCAATTGTCAGTTGTCTAGGTTGGTCAGTATCTCATGGTCTATTACTAGTCAATATCTGCTACAGCGAAAATTCCTGTAGCACAAACGGACTGGAAGATTGTGTTAATTATTAAGAGACTCTGACCTGTAATTAGAGAAAGATAAAAAGGACTTGAATTCTTAGGTTTGGAATGATTGCATTTCTCCCCGGGTGGGGGTGGGAGGAAGGGGTTGTGTACGATTGGTTGACACAGAAGAAGAGTTTTTATCATCATCGGTCAGCTCACGTTTTTCTCTTTTCCATTGTTTTTAGCCTGAGCCTCCTACAACAAACAAATGGCAGCTGGACAACTGGCTGACCAAAGTCAGCCAACCGGTAGCCCCACCAGACACACAGGAGGGGAGCGCAGAGCCCCCGCCTCGGCACCCAGACAGTAAGGGCAAGGGGGGAGGCGACAGCAGCGGCCCCACCACTGGTCACGAGCTCTCGGAATCCAAAGATCCTCCCCTCAAGAGTTCCAGCAAAGCCCCCCGGGGCTCCTCCGAGGGCCCTCACCCCGGCAGGAGGAGCTGTCAGAAGTCCCCGGCCCAACAGGAGGTCCTGCCGAGGCAGACTGTCGGAACCAAACAACCCAAGAAGCCGGTCAAGGCCTCCACACCGGCGGACCCTCGGGCCGGCCTGCAGGTGGAGAGCGAGCCGGGCCCCCCTCCGTACGGCTCCAAAGACCAGCCTTCCAAAGACAAGCCCAAGGTGAAGACGAAAGGGAGGCCGCGTGCCGGAGACAGCAGAGAGCCCAAGCCCGCGGCGCCCAGCCCCGGTGATCGGAAGAAGCACCAGAGCGGGCCGCTGGCCCCCTCAAAGGCACTCTCGGGCCCCGAGCCCACGAAGGACAATGCGGGGGCCAGGAGCCCCGAGCACTTTGCCCTGGTTCCCCTGACCCAGAGCCAGGGCCCGCCCCACGGCGGTGGCGGCAGGACTAGTGGCTGCCGGCGCGCAGTGGTGGTCCAGGAGGACCGCAGGAAGGACAAGCTCCCGGGGCCTGCCAGAGACACCAAGCTGCTGTCGCCGCTCAGGGACCCTCCTCCCCCACCCATCTTGATGGTGAAGATAACCCTGGACCTTCTTTCTCGGATACCCCAGCTTCCTGGGAAAGGGGGCCGGCAGAAGAAGCCAGAGGACAAGCAGCCCCCCACAGGGAAGAAGCTCGATTTGGAGAAGAGAGGCGCAGACAACTCAAGCAAGTTGGTCAAAAAAAGAAAGGTGAGTGTAGAGGGCAGGGCCGCGCTCTGCAGTGTGGATTGTACCTACTGTTGGCCTGGAGCTGGCTGTGACCCGAATTGTCTTAGAAGAGGCAGGAAGTCTTTGCTTTGATCTGGTATAGCCTTTGCTCCTATACCAGAATGACCCTGTCCCTGGGGACCTGCGTGCTTCCCACTCTGCCGGCAGGCATTACCAAATGCTGGATCCCTTCAGCAGTCTTGCTAGTTTGAGAAGAAGTGAGGCAGTCATTGAAAAAGCTATCTTGTTTTAGGATAATATAGCATTTTCAGGTGCACTTTTTTTCTGATAACATTGGTATTTGCCACCTGACCCATTATTAGGTTTTGCCCTTGAAATTAATATCTTACATGAACTGAGATGTTAATCAGTATTCTGAATTACTGAAAGAACTGCTATATGTTAAATCTTACTCTTCTGGTAGGATCCTTTTTAGTACTGATACTATATCTGTATTTTAACTGATGGCTGCCTAACACCTCATTAATTTGAAACTACCAGATTTAGAATTTGTGACCTCTATTAAAGACTTTTATTAATAAGCAGAAAGTTATAAAAAAAAAGTTATAGAGCTATTGAACACACGGTTAGGATATCTTGTTGAGTAATACCGGGCTGATAAGGATATATTGTGAGGTAATGAAAATCTGTCGTTTCATTTATCACCATTTTTGGAGATTTCATTTAAGGAACAAACACAATGAAAAAAACACATTTGTACATTACTTAAGATCCTGAGTTAACTTGGACATACCACTATTTTGGATAGTCTCGTTTCTTCCTATATCCTGAATCACTGAGCCCCCGATACACTTTTTGCTGATGCTTCATGGTGAAAGATAAGTGAATTTTTCCCCTAGTGGCATTCCAACCTAATCTGTTCCAGATTCAGAGTAAAAGGCACGGGAAGGGCCAACTCTTTCCTGCTGACAAGGGATAAAAATTTTAACACTTTTATAAGTACACCAAAAACTTCTTACTCAGTCGTGGAAGTTGAACTAAGAATAACAAAGGACAAAAAGATCCTGAAGCCTGTTGTCCCATCTGTGTGATTCCACCAATTACTCCACCAGGTTAAAAATATAACATGACTTTATCAAATAGCACAGGGTGACTATTTCTCCAGAAGCTCATTGAATGAGACGTGAGGGTGTGTATTACCACTGTAACCGCAGCTGGCAGCTCAAGTCCTAATTGGTAGTGCTGCTCCAGCTAAAGGAGGGCATATTCCCATGTCAGGGAACTTTTCAAATGATATGTGTGTGTGTTAAAGGTATAAAACTTTATGGATGAAATGGCGATGGATCTGGCTAGGAAAAAAGCGCCTGCATCTCATATCCCTGAGAAAGGTTCAGAAATACACTCCTTGGGCCCTTGAGTGGCTGTCAGTTAGGCCTATGAATCTTGGTTTTAGCTCAGGTTATGATCTCATGGGTCTTGGGATCAAGCCCCTTGTGGGGCCCCATGCTCAGCATGGAGTCTGCTTGAAGTCTCTCTCCCTCTGCCCTTCCCCCCACTCCCTGTCTCTGTAAAATAAATAAATCTTAAAAAAAAAATAAATAAATAAAACACAACCTTCCTTTACCTCCCCTTCCTCCTGGGAAATCTTTTATCACTTACCTCTCACCTGTCATGGTCCTGTCTAATCTCAAGTGAACCTTCTGCATTAGCTGGAGTGGGGAGAAGTATTCACTTCTAAAATACTAACCGGATGGGAATATTAGAAATTGGAGGCTCTGCAGACAGTTCTCAGTCCCAGTCCATACCCCAGTGCAAGTCTAGAAGCATTGTTTGCAGCTCCGGAACAGGAAAGTCAGCTCTCCCTGTTGAGTATTTGAGCTGTGTGCTCTAGGCTCTAGAGAGCCATTCCCAGCCCTTGGCCCTGCTCCACCAGGGCGGCTCATTTATCTCTCTGTTTGGAGGATGGAGAGATAATGATCCGCTCATCTGAGTCAGATACATGCTTGCTTGAATGCTTTGGCTGGCAGGCAGCGGAGAGATCTGCCCCTGGGAACAGTTTACCTCTCTGCTGTGATACTGACAGGATCAGGGTCTGAACCAGTGGTTCCAAACCCTGGCTACACATGATGGTCACCTGGGGAAGCCTTTATTGCCTATGGCAGGATTTGCACCCCCTAACTTACACCCTCCATTGGTGTTTTCTAAATCCTAATGTCTAGCAGAGCTGGGATCTGCTGGAGCAGAGCCATACCACAGGGCTGAGATTGTACAAAGCTAGTTCTTTGGTTCAAGAAGTTCCTCCACTGTACTACATTTGAACATCACGGATCTAGGCAACCAGGAATTCCTTGCCAAAGTATATCACTAGTTAGAAGCTTTCAGATAAGTCAATTTAAAAATAATCAACTGTATACTTTTTTCATGATCAGAGAATCACAGTCTTTTGGGTTTATTCCTGCTGTGTTCCCGATATTATGAATATTGAGCATATGAACCTGAGATCCTGCCCTATATGGGTGGACTTCGTCCTGTCCGGACCCTGATTCACACTGTTCAGGCCTTCCCCACAGAGCAGCTGTTCCCCCCAACATGTGCACCTGGGCCCCAAGGCAGGCAGGGCTGTTCTCAGGTTAAGCCTGTGCACTCTTTCACAAATTCAGACGGTGACGATTTGTTCATCTTCATTTTAAGTGTGAACACTAGAAAAAGATCTCTGAGGAAGTAATGAGAACAGTTGAAGAACATGCCTGGTACTTCACATGAGTGAAATTTCATTTTTCTTTTGTATTTTCTTTTTTTATTTTGCAGTACACCCCATGCCCAACATGGGTCTTGAACTCATGACCCTGCTATTGAGTTGTATGCTTTCCTGACTGCACCAGCCAGGCACCCCTGAACTTTAGCTTTTCATTTAAATTCTGTTTCTTTCATGGTGCCAAATTTAGCAAACATTTTTCAGAGGGTTAACCAGTCCTTGTAACCATTTTAGACTTAAAAGCGTGAGAAGATAATCCTAAAGACATAATGGTGGGTTGTGGCAGCTCTGATGAAGCTGTCACATGTTGCCTCTGGAGAAAAGGACGAGGCAGGGAGGCAGGTCATGACGAAAAATGGAGAAAAGTGTGGGAGTAAATAGGCATGACTTGACATCATGCTCCCTACAGAAACTGCAGAATTTCATCATCTAACTTACAATTTAGAATTTAAAATACTACTTGTATTTTCACTTATTTAATTCATAAATCAAGCTGATGTCTTTGCAGACTAGGAAGACAAATGGAAGTCGGGAAGTACAATATAATGAAAACAGTGCAGCACAATTGAGCATATTCTAATGACATACTAACGTGCATAGAGCTCCATGTATGACTTTAGCATATTCTAGGCACTTTTGTAGATCATATCTCATTTAATTTCAATCATTGTATAGATCGCCTTTCAAATAAAATGCCAGACTGTCCTAACCATCATGTAGACAAATATCTCTGTCCTTTCATTTTTCTAAATAATGGCTTCACTGACCAAGATGCTTTGGCATTTTGGGAAATAACATTTCAGAGCTATCAATTATGTCAGTTTTGGGGAATGGGAAAAGGAAATTATGGGATGTGATGGGAGTGCGCATTTTTACTGTTTGTGAATGGTTGGTTCAGTCCCTTCCTTCTACCCAAGATCTGACCATCTTTCTTTGGATTGTTTATTCAGACCAACATTCCCAGTTATTCTTCAAAATCAAGGGTTTAAAACGTCATCCCTTATGGTTTCCTAAAGCCATTGATGTCTAATTTCTTCATGTTTTGTTAGTTACCCCAAGAAGAGCCTCATAAACATATGAGCATGATAGTGAAGACTGATTTAAACTGTTCTTATAGGGGTACCTGGGGGGCTCATTCCGTTAAGTATCTGCCTTTGGCTCAGGTCATGATCTCAGGGTCCTGGGATTGAGCACCGCATCAGGCTCCCTGCTCAGCAGGGAGCCTGCTTCTCCCTTTCCTTCTCCCCCTGCTTATGCTCTCTTGCTCTGACAAACAAATGAAATCTTTAAAATAAATAAGTAAACCATCCTCATGCCTGTGTATTCCCTCACCAAGAAGGGGGGGAAAATGGGTTTTCTGTAATACTTATCCCAGTGCCTCTAATCTGTCTTCTCAGTAAGTCCCCACCCTTGTTCTTGGTGCTGATTGGCACTGTATCATCGTCTTCTTGAACCTCCTGCAAAGAGACACCTTGAATTTCCCAGATGGCTGCTTCTCTACTTTTCCTAAGCCCAGGTGCTACCAAGCCCATTTGCTTCCCTGAGGGAGATGACAGCCTTAGAGTTTGAGTGCTAAGAGCCTATGGGTTGCTTGTACAGCTGCTCCCTTTCCTAGGTGAGATCTGGGAAAGCTCTCACATCACCTGCCTGCTTAGCCAACGTAGGTCTGGAACTCGTGTGTGCTCACTCTGCCCAGGCCAGTGATGTTCATTCTTCTCTTTCACACCTGATGGGTTTTTTTGTTTGTTTGTTTGCTTTTGTTTTGGTACACAGGTATCTGGTTGGGGGGATTATTGGAGAGAAGCACAAGGTCATAGTTCAGGATGGGTTCACGGACTCTGACAGTGTCATCCCTGGCTCAGTCCTTCCATTGTCCCCATTCTTGCCACTCCAGGGCCTGCGCCCTCATCCCCACCCATTTCCCTTTCAGATGCTTGTCGTCGCTATCATAGCTAACTAAGCATCAGGGAGACCAACCTTCTACCTGTTAGAAACTCTGTGGCCTGAAATGAGTGTCCGTCTTGGAAAAGTTGTCCTCATTTTCCCTCTGCTACCTGTAGGTACTTAGATGGTGAGCCAGATGCCAGGGCAGGCATGAGGCTGCTCTCTTCCAGAAACCACCCTGGCTCAGCACTGTCCCATCTCTTCCTTTTATGGTCTTCATACTTGCCCTTCTGCTGTACTCTGTAGGTGGAGCAGTTTTTGGCAGATAATCTGGGCCACCTGATCCAACTGGTTGAGAAAAGCAAACAAGTCAACAGCCTCCTTTTGTTGTGTAGATGCAGGCTTGTGGAGATGCTTATCCTTCTGGAAAAAGGGAACTTCCAAAGCCCAGACCTCATACAGGGTTGACCTGTAGGTAAGCCACAGGCACAGGAGACTTCTTTTTTCTCTTGAAGAGTGAGTACCCCACTCTTGTCTCATTTTCAAATGGCTTCTTGTCCCAGAAAAGCCTTCAGAAGTCCTTGCCTCCTGCTTTTCAGTCTTGGAATTCAAGACTGCATCTCCTGCCACTGAGTGTTGCCTGACTCCCCGCTTGCTTTCCTAAATCCACCCCCTTAGAGTTGTCGCACAGCCCAGCTTGCCCAGGGGCCTCCACTGCACCCTTCAGCCGCTCAGCTTGTGCCACTTGACAAACGTTTATTCCGGGGAAGCCTCTGTGACTGTTCCAGACAGAAGATGACAAGGTTTCAAGTGCATAGTGTACGGAAGTACCGACCTCAAGCCCACAGGCTTGAACTCAGTCAAGCAAGGAAAATCACAAGAAGGGGAATGTTGTTTTAGTTTAATGGCTTACTGTCTCCTAGCTTACCAAATATTATCTGTTTGTAAGTTCTACATATCAGTGTAATGAGCATATTATTGCCAACATGGGTGTTAAATGCTAGTGTCAAAGTTCGTGTCTTTGGTGATTTCTTGAGGGTTATTTTGGCTGTTCTCTTGAGTCACCGACTGGCACAAGCCAAGGTTATGTCTAGTTTGTGAGGATTGACTCACTATGAATCTTATTTTCGTGTGTGGTATATAAGCTCTACCACTTTGGGTTACCGGCATGTCCTAAGCAGCATGAAGATACACAAACAAAAACTAACTCTCCACCTCTGGGTTTGGTGGGGTTTTTTTGTTTTGTTTTGTTTTGTTTTGTTTTGTTTTGTTTTTAAGGAAGTAACCTTGTGGACAGTTTATGCCTGGTTTTCCCTTGGGAACTTATTCTCTGTGTCATTAATTGGCTGGAAATACCTTCCACTGGAAAAAGTATATATTGCCAACTACCTCCTGTACAAGTTAATATCTGTCTGGGTATTTTAGCAAATTCTGTGACTTGGCCTAAAGGTAAATCTCCCATCTTTTTGCATGGCTTGCTAGGCCAACTTTCTAGCCCTTAATCTAAAACTGAGAACTTACTGGGCCCAGTGGTGGCAGAGACTTTTGACACAGTAGGCTCCTTCTTTTTTTTTTTTTTTTTTTAAGATTTTATTTATTTACTCATGAGAGAGACACACAGAGAGAGAGGCAGAGACACAGGCAGCGGGAGAAGCAGGCTCCATGCAGGAAGCCTGACGTGGAACTCCATCCCAGGTCTCCAAGATTAGGCCCTGGGCTGAAGGCAGATGCTCAACCTCTGAGCCACCCAGGCTTCCCGGGCACAGTAGGTTTTTAACTGACAGGGAGAATAGTAGGGTTCTGTTTTAACCCATTCATTTCCAATTCACTCTCTTCTCTGCCAACATTGATGGTCTCTGGAATGTTAGCAGGATGAGTTGAATTGTGGATCTGTGTGCTGTGCAGGACCCCACCTAGGAGGGCTCCCCTGGCATGTGCCGGTACCTTTCATGTCTTCTGAATTGTGCTCCAGTATTCTGCGGCCGGCCCCTGCTGCATGCCACAAGAGAAATAGCTGTGTGAATTGCCCTCTCCTTGTTCAGCGGTGCCTTTGAGATGTGCCTATTTATGTACATCACATCATCTCCTTACCTGCTCTCCCAAGATGTTTTTTCTCTGGTCTTCTGTAATAAATGGTGATTATTTCTGGGCAACTGGTCTCTTTTTATCTTATCTAACCCGTACATTTTTTTTAAATTTTTATTTATCAGAGGAAGTGAGGAGCAGAGGGAGAGGGAGAAAGAGAATCAATCCCAAGCAGACTCCCCACTGATCACAGAGCCCAGCATGGGGTTCCATCCCACCACCCCGAGATCATGACCTGAGCCAGTATCCAGCATTAGACACATAAATGACTGAGCCACCCAGGGGCCCCTCACCTGTACATTACATAGTTTCTTCTTTGCATTGACTAGTTGGAAGTTCAGAGCGCAATTTACAGATTGGCACTAGAAAACTGTAGCACAGCACTGCCCACTAGCAGTACAATGTAAACCACATATGTTATTTTATTTTTTTTACATATGTAATTTTTAATTTTCTAGTAGCTACATTTAAAAATATAAAAAGACAAAAAAAAACCTAGTGAAAATAATTTTTAGGTTTTTATTTAATCCAGCATATCTAAAACAGCACCACTTGAACATTTAATCGATATAAAAATATTACATTTCCCATTTTTTGCACTAAGCCTTTGAACTTGGTCCCTTTGGACTAGCTGTGTTGGAGTTCCGTGTAGATACTGTCTGGTGGCTGTCGGGATTGCACAGGCCATGCAGAATCGGCCTCTACGAGAGTGAAAGCCTGCCCTTGGATTTCATTTCTCTTCTCTACCCATATTTTCCCTTCTTAATATTTTCACTTGTACACACACCAAGAGATTGGAGGTATGAGAGGTACCTTGAATGATCCATTTTGAAAGGAGACAAACTTTTTCCAGTGGAGATGTGAAGGGCTGAGTGGACGTGTATGCTCAGGCACATTGGTTTGCAGAATGTCTGGTGGAGGAGGAGCACGTTTTTCCTGTTACCCTTCCTTTGAGTGGGGTCAAGCTGCCTATTAACGTCTGGGCAGAGCTTGAGCCTACACATCTTAACTTCTTTTTCTTGGAGAAATTCAGGGAATGAGGGAGAGACAGTGGGGCCTCCCACTATCAGTTAATTTGAAGAACGTTTTTTTCCTTTAAGGCATTAAGAGAGGATTTCAGGTTTTTTAGGGATTGTCCTAGATTGACTGGGTGGTGTCCCAGATTTCTCTCTTGGTGAACAACTGACAGTTGGAGGAGTTTAGTTCTAAATGTGCATCAGAATTAATTGAAGGACTCCCACCAATCACTGCACTGTCACTTGTTGTTCTTCCCATGGAGTCATTACGTGAGCCCAGACCAGTGGGAAGGAGGCCACTGTGAAGTCACTGAGTCTACGTGAGACTTGCTGTAAGCTTGGTCTGTGTGTTGACAAGTGAAAAAGACTTATGCCATGAAGAATTCTTTGTTCTCTTAATGATTGCGTGTGTTTATCTTGCACTTTAGTTGGTGTAAACAGATGTTTTTGAGGTATGTGACTCCCCATAGAATTAGATAGCTCTTCTGCTCATACTCTTCCCTCATTAAAATTATACTTACCCTTCATTTTTTTTCAAATTTTTTGAAAAATAGAAACACGTGTGTCCATATGTATATATATAGAGATAAAGACAATCTCTTAAAAAGAAAGGAAGAAAGACAGTTGTATCAGTGGAAGAGGAAAAAAAAATTAGCTGGAATCCCAAAGCAACTATTTTTTGTTTTATGTCTTTCTAGTCCAGTCTATAAGATACAGAGACAGAGAGTTTTGTGACCTATTTCTTTCTCAATAGCATACTTAATTTTCATTAGACGAAAAGTGTACTTTAAGTACCTCATTCCTAATTTTATACAAAGAATAAATTACTGGGTATAAGTGTATAAGCAGATAGTCCTTTTGAAAGAGAGAGGCTGTCCTTATTCATAAAAATCATCTGTTGTTACTTGCTGTGAATATGCATGTTTTATTGATTCTTTTATATTTAGAAAAACATCAGTGAGATATTGAGGACCATTACTTACTCTTCTGTTGTCAGCTATGATTTAGACATCCTCCCTTCCCTGGGTGGGAAGAATATGCATTCCTCATGTGAAAATCTGTCTCAGTACAAATCTCATCAAATCTCGATTGCTTCCCTCAACCCCCCAAAATACACACAGTGTACGTACTTGTAAGTTTGCTGTGTGTGGAGGTGTCACCAGAAGTCTAATTATTCTTACTCCATTTGCTGTGTAGCATTTTCTGTTTTATCTGTACACCTGTGTTCCTAACAGTTTACTTTGTCATGCAACGCTAACAGGCTGAAGCTGAGAAAGACCATGACAGCAAGAAAGCCAGACTGGAGAAAGAAACCAAGTTGCAGTCATTATCTTCATCCCCCCACAAAGAATCTTCCAAAACAAAGTGAGTATAGAGATTAGCAGCGGCCTTGAAAGGTGATCAAGTCTTCCCCAGTCTCGACAGGGCAAAATCATTTTTCTTCTGCAGTAGTAGTGGATCAACACACTGTCTAGCTCGTTTTGATGACTTGCTAAGTTTGTTTCATGCTGCTTTCATCCACGAGGCCCTTTTGGGAATGAACAGTTCATTGAGCCCAAACCTAGGTTTATCAAAGACATTTTAACAATGGAAAATTTCCTGAACATCTGGAAGTAATTTCTTTCTAAAATAATTTTTAATGAAAAAAAGAAGGGTACTCTTATAATCCCTACTTTGCAGAATTGGAGACAGAGGCACAGAGAGAAAGTGACTTGCCTATAGTCACAAAATTCTTGACAGATGGAACTACCACTTGAACCCCGGGAGCCTGGGATCATCCAGGCTGACTCACTAAGTCTCCTGCTTTGGAGAGAGGTGGCCACAGGGTAGGCAGCTAATTCCAGGAAGTTGTGAATATAAAAAGTTATTATTCACTCCCTGGTTTATTCAAGAAATCGCTGCATAAAATGACCTGGCAAAAGAAAGTAAATGCATAGTGTCACTGGGTGGGAGCCAACAGATTTGAGAGGGAGGGTGGAAGAATAAGCAGAGAGAAGGTGACAGCTGGGCTTGCCCGCTTGTCCAGCAAAGGTCCAGGTTGGGGCACAGCTAATGAGATTAACTTGGTTGGGGAAGTTAGGATCTCTGGTAGACTCTACGAGTTTAGTGACAAATCACACAACTTAATCAATTATTCATAGATAGGACTAGATCTCTCAGAGGTACCTGAAGTCCGTGAAGTTTGGCCTTTCTATAAGAATGGATTTCATGCTCTGTGATTTGTTAATTTTTGGTGTCAGCAGCCATTTTACAACTAAACTACTAAGCTAATGTGTTTCATGTTCTGCCTTAACTTAATTTTGTGTGATGTTTCCTTCCAGAACACCCAGGCCCTCCTCTGAGCCCTCAAAGAAGGAGATGCTTCCCCCCCCACCTGTGTCATCCTCATCCTCCCAGAAGCCAGCCAAGCCTGCACAAAAGAGGCCAAGGCGGGAAGCTGATCCCTCCAGCCAAGACGCTTCCCAAAGTGCCAGTAGTAGCAAGGGCAACCACAAAGACTCTTCCACTTCCAAGCACAGAAAAGTAGAGGGGAAGGGATCTGGAAGCAGTACAGAGCACAAGGTAAGCAGGCAAGGCTGGAACTTAACGGAATGGAATACATCAACACATCATTACTTCTTTACTTTAAATTCCCAAATAAGAGAAGTTCCCAATGATGATTTTTCAGAACTCTTCATCACTGTTAATAAGGCAATAATGAATTATTTGTGTTTAAACTTATAGAGGGAGAGTAAAAAAGGGAGAGGGAGAATAAAAAAGACTACTATTCCATGTTGTTTAGATGTCAGTTTATTCTTCTTAAAGTGGTTCAGAGGTGAAAGATCAGAATAGATTTTATCGTGTTGATTTTCTATCAGTTGTTTTGCAGTAAGGAATGCTACCTGGTTAGTTCTTGGATTGCATGTTTGGTGTCACCTACTGTCGTTATTGGTTGTAATGGGAAAAATGTAGCCACTTTCTCTTCTACTGACCTAGGCTGGGTGGGTGTGTATGTGTGTCGACTAAGAGAAAATGTTATGTTTAGCTTTGTTGATTATCTGTGCTCTTTGACATTTTTGTCTTACATCTTTTTAGTCCTCAGTATAACCAGAGCCTATAGTTTCAGTTGAATCTAGTTGGGAAAATGGGTGACCAAGCTTAATTGTACAGTGCTTGATTTTCTCTGTTCTGAACTGATATTTTGGGCTAATTTAGAGGGGTGGTCAGTGGTTTTAACTGTTGGAGTGTGAGCTGTATGATGATTTTTTTTAAAGGGATCTTCTGGAGATAGTGCATATCCTTTTCTAGTGCCTTCTTTGCCAAATGGTAACTCTAAACCAGGGAAGCCTCCAGTGAAGCTTGACAGGTAAGACCTTGAGTGTTCCTGCTGCTCCCCCTCTCATCTGCCCCCCTCAACCCCATTCATTTGAAACCCCCCCCCCATCTCCTCCCATCCTTTTTCTGCCCTCATAGTCTTAAGGTCATCTTGTCCCAGTCTTAATAATTCCAGGTTCTTGTGACCCACCCCTGATGTTTGCTTCTCTTTCAGACAACAAGCAGATTTTCACAGGAAGGAGGCCAAAAAGTTGAAGCAAAAAGCAGAGTTAATGGTCAGTTTGGCTCTTTCATCCCTTTGGTAGAAAGTTTTCTGATAAGATATCTGTTGTCTCATTGAATTCCCTATCACTGGACGGCAGGGGTGGGGTGGGGAGGGCCAACATGGGCTGCGAAATAAGCGGGATCAGCGGGTCTTAAGGAGTGAGGGGTAAGGGATTCTTAGTGAAATTATTTTCTTTGACTCCATCTGAACATAGGCAAATGTACAGGGTACCTAGTGACAAGTTTTATATGTAAATGAATGGAAGTTAAATCCACCCAATAGTGTTTGATTTAATTAATATATGCCACTGGATCAGTGGATCAGTTCTTTGGATGTAGAAGACAAGGTCTGCTATTCAAAGTCTGTCAGTTTGTGTTTAACCTGAAACATTTCAGGAGATGAGGTAGTCTGTGCTCCAATATGGTCTTAGAGCCCTTGAGATAATAACCTGAGAGAACAGTAGACCAGTGCCATTAGGTAAGATTTTAAGATGGAGGTAATGATTGCACTGTTGGTGAACATACTTTTAAAAATGAACTGTCTTTATCCAGTGGCTGTTGGGACTTTCTGGAAAGTGGTGCTTTTGTGGTAATTGCGTACGCAATTAAATGTACTTTTACTTCTCTGCTGCAGTATAATTAGATAATGTTTGCCCTTTTTTGTATTTAAATATCTAAGACTTGGGCGCTTTTATTTATTTAATGTATTCTCCAAACCCAAACCCCTACAAATACCACTTACTGAACCTTGTGCCACATGAGAAGAGCATGGTGGCCCCTAATGTCCTGGCCTGGTGTTCTTCAACCCCAGGCTGTAGGCGGGCATCTCTTCTCAGGCAGGCGAGGGAAGGCTGGACTCAGACCCTTTATCAGTCCCTGTTCATCAGGGCAAGATGTTTATCAAGTCCTTACTATGCAGGATGCTGTCAGGGGGTCAGAATTAAGCCTCTCCATGTAGACCTGTCTCCAAAACAGCCCTGTTACTAGGATGGCCTGAGTCAGATTAAGATGTCTGCACTGAATGACTGTTTTTTCTGGCCTCTGTCTTCCAGCTCTCCAAAGTTGGTGCCAGAACCGTAAGAACCTTTAGAATTTTGCAAGAGAGTAAATACTCAGTGCTTTGTCAGCCAGTTATCTAAAACGTACCTTGAGGTTGAATGTTTTTCAGCCACTAGATTCCTTCATTATTCAAGCAGTAGTCCAGGGAACTTTCTGTCTTGCTATTAATTTATACAGATTCCAGATGCACCTCTTCTACTCCCTACCTTAGCTGCCCATATATTCCCGTGTGTACAGGGCAGTCCTGATTTATACCTTGCTGCATCTCATTTTAATAGCTAATAAAAGCTCATTTCACCGTGACGTTATGCTGGTTTGCACAAAACCCAGAATGGCAATCTCTTTATAATATTCTCCTTTAATTGAGCAAGGTCTCCTATAAGTTCATTTTGCATTCCAGGTAGTTAAGTTCACCACTGAATAGAGAGGAATGTATTTTCTCTCTGCATTGTACTCACTGCTGAGTAGGGAGGTGAGGATGCTACTGCTTGAACACTGTCTCTGGAGTTGCAGAGGGAGCGGTCACGGAAATATTTTCATTATTAGCCTTGCAGAATACGTCCCTCAGAGAAGTAGATATTGGCAAATTGTTTTACTATAGTTCCTTTTGTTTGTACACTAAAGGCCAGTACAAATCTTGGAAATTCCATGAAAGAGATGGCATTGAGTAAGTAAATATGAGGAGTCATAGTCTCACCAGTGAAGCAAACCACTAAAACCCTATACTGCTGATATAGTGGGCTTTGCCAATTTGATTCTTATTCTTTCTGTCACTAATTTTCTTTTTCTTTTTTTGGAATGTAAAACAGATTTTTTTTATTAAACACAAAATACACTTTTCAAGTATAAGAAGTTGACAGCACTTATTAAATAGTGTTTCAAATTTTTCTTAATTTTTCTTTATTTTTAAATGCTAGTTAGTTACAATATAGTGTGATAGTTTCAGGAATAGAATTTAGTGATTCAAGATCCCTGGGTGGCGCAGCGGTTTGGCGCCTGCCTTTGGCCCAGGGTGCGATCCTGGAGACCCGGGATCGAATCCCACATCGGGCTTCCGGTGCATGGAGCCTGCTTCTCCCTCTGCCTGTGTCTCTGCCTCTCTCTCTCTCTGTGACTATCATAAATAAATAAAAATTAAAAAAAAAAGAATTTAGTGATTCATTCCTTACATATTAACACCTAGCACTCATCACATAAGTGCCCTCTTTATTGCCCACCCCCCACCAACTTCCCCTTCAACAACCCTCAGTTTGTTCTCTCAGTCAAGAGTCTGTTTTATGGTTTGCCTCCCTCTCTTTGTCCATCTTATTTTCCTTCCCTTCCCCTATGTTCATCTGTTTGGTTTCTTAAATACCGTATACGAGTGAAATCATGGTATTTGTCTTTCTCGGACTGACTTATTTCAGTTGACATAATACCTAGCTCTATCCTTGTCACTGTAAATGGCAAGATTTCATTCTCTCTGATGGCTGAGTAATACTCCTTTGTGTGTGTGTGTGTGTGTGTGTGTGTGTGTATGCACACTGTATGTGCAGTTCAGTTTTATTTATTTGTTTATTTATTTATTTATGATAGTCACAGAGAGAGAGAGAGAGGCAGAGACACAGGCAGAGGGAGAAGCAGGCTCCATGCACCGGGAACCCGATGTGGGATTCAATCCCGGGTCTCCAGGATCATGCCCTGGGCCAAAGGCAGGCGCTAAACCGCTGCGCCACCCAGGGATCCCCTGCAGTTCAGTTCTTTATCCATTCATCAGTCAGTGGACACGAGCTCTTGAGCTCTTTCATAATTTGGCCATTGTAGACACTGCTACTATAAACATCAGGGTGCATGTGCCCCTTGGAACTAGTGTTTTTGTATCCTTTGGGTAAATATCTAGTAGTGCAATTGCTGGGTCGTAGGGTAGTTCTATTTTTAACTTTTTGAGGAGCCTCCCTACTGACACCAATTTTCTGACCCTGTCTTCTCTAGAAAACATATTTTAGAACCAAGCTATTTTTTTAAAAAATTAGTAGCCCCACCCCATCTTTCCTTGCTGATTTGTCACCATCTCCTTATACTCCACTTACATCTTTGCTGCTTTTATTAATTCTTTTTGAACATATCAAATTGAAAACATTAGCAGAAACTACGAACTTGGATATGCATTGCTCTTATAACACATGGTCCATATGACAAATGTAGAGAAAAGGTGGAGGTGCTCATCGCAGTCTTGGAGGAGGTGGCTGTGTTCCAGTGAGGAGAGCATTCAGTGACAGGGTGTGCTTTCAGGTTTACGTGAGCACCAGTATTTGATTTCATTCATATTTCTACTTGCCCTTTAAGGGACTCTGAAATTTTATCCCTGCTGGCTGGCCCAGGGATAGCCTTGTACATTTAGCCCTGACTTCCAAATGAGATTGGATGATCTGTTTGGCTCTAAAATACATAAAACAATTATTGTTAGAATTAATATTTAAGATGCTTATAAACCATAATGTTTCCTGTTGCTCGTAAGATAAACATCACAAGTACAAAGAAATTTGTGTCTGCATCATTCTAGATATGTAGAAAAGTCTATTTCTCAGGAAAATTATATAATGAGGAATTGCGCCCTAATAACAAGGAGAGGATGTGCTTACTGCCTTGGTTTTTGAATATGTAGTTTAAGACTTAGAGTAGTCTTATAAGATAGTTTTCTATTAAATTTTCTCTAAAAGAAATTTTTCAGTAGGTCAGAGCCAACAGGCTTTGGTTATCACTGAATTCATTTGTTCTCACAGTTTTCCTTGGCCATAATTAAACTAAGACAGTGGAGGGGAGGGGGAAGGTAAAGACTGTGTTTGAGAAACTAAACAAAAGTCTGTCTTGGGCCTAATACTGACCATATTCTTCTACAGATGGACAAGGTTGGGAAGGCTTTTAAGTACTTGGAGGCCGCCTTGTCCTTAATTGAGTGTGGGATTGCCATGGAGTCGGAAAGCCCAGCCTCCAAATCGGCTTACTCGGTGTACTCCGAAACCGTAGACCTCATTAAGTAAGTGCCAAGTCATTTTGCCATCTTCCTAAGAGCTTCTCTTTCCTCACCTTTATTGCCTGAATCCATTTGAACTCAGTTGGAAGACAACTTAATAAAGGAGAGCTTTAAAAAAGTGACTGATCCAGGACTTTTTCTTGGGTCCTAGACGAAAGTTGTATCCTGGATGAAGTGCTAGAATAGAGGGACTGAGTCCAGCTCCATCCTTTTGCCAAGTGTGCTGTGAAATGCCAGACCTTTCAGGGAGAGGCTGGTTTTTCCAGTTTGGTTTTCTTATCAGATGTGCTGGCAGCTCAGTGAAAGCTCCCTTCTTCATCTGTATTTGGGCAGGGGACCCAGTGAGGACACAAGTACGTGGTTTCAAGCAGGTAGACAGGCCAGAGAAGAGAAGAGACATGTCCTTGCCTGCTTTTCTGAATGGCCTGAATTACTGCTCTAAAGCCTGGGGTTTTTTTCTGTGTGGTTTTCATGTCTACACATCTTCAGGAAAATCAACATAAAACCAAGACAAATATAATAAGATGTCTTTGTATCTGGGGTTTTCTAACTGCCTTTGTTTAACCTGGTGTATTTTTTAAATTTTCCTATAGATTTATAATGTCATTAAAATCCTTCTCAGACGCCTCATCTCCACAAGAGAAAATATTTGCTGTTTTATGGTGTGTACTTTTTACTTTGTCTAAATAGTATTTGCTTTTGCACCTTTTGCTGTTATAAAAAAGATTTGGAAGTTTGTTTTTTTAACATGGAAATTAATAATGAAAGGCAGAACAATACCAGAAAGTAGGATGTGTGGTCAAAGGGGCTAATCCCATTGATACTTTGTATGAAAGGCATCTATTGCCATTTTACTGTTGACTCAGTAGATGCTTTGGTCTCGTGACTTGAATGATATTCTTGTGTATTTGTGTTTTTCCGCCAATATTTACTGAGGGGTGGGGATGAAGAGAGAGAGAGAGTGCCTTAAGCGGGCCCCACACCCAGCATGGAGCCCAACCTGGGGTTTGATGTCAGGACCCTGAGATCATGACCTGAGCCAAAATTAAGAGTCGGACACTCAACTGACTGAGCCACCCAGGTGCCCCTACCAATAGTTCCTTTTGATGATAGTTTGAACAATACAGTAAGATTCTTAAGATAGTCTTCCTCATGTAGATGAGGAAAACCCAGTGTGTTCCTCAGGCTATAAAAGGCTAGTTATATGACTTTCTGTAGGAGTGGTACTCATGTCTATAAAGTAATACTTCACTTTAACTTCTGTTTGTGTTCATAGCATGCGTTGTCAGTCCATTTTGAACATGGCGATGTTTCGTTGTAAAAAAGATATAGCAATAAAGTATTCTCGTGCTCTTAACGAACACTTCAGCAGTTTTTTCAAAGTTGCCCAGGCACCTTCTCCATGCATTGCAAGGTAATGAAAAGTCTAATTTATGTAATTTTCAAAATTGAGTGCTTTCTTTATTTACCTCTTGATTTTGCAACCATCTGTAGGACTCTGGCTTTTCAAAAATTGTGTATATTTATGTGCTGATTTGCTCCTGAAATTTGAATTATTTGCATATCTCTACCTTTTTGAGGAATAGTTATAAGTCCAGGTGTTTGCTGATTAAGTAACATAAAAAGATAATTACAGGGAATATAGGGTCAACATTTTAGAGCTTTGAGAATATTCAGATAGGCCTAACAACACAAAACAGAGGCAGAGCCAATCAGATATAGTCTTTTCTCTGTCTGTATGACATGTGGTCTTGTCATTTCAGGTAATAAGAACTTTCCAGAACTGTATACCCTTACCTAGGATCCATGAGAGTGATAATAAAAATGAAAAAAAAAATATTTCTTTTTTTTTTTTTAGATTTTTTTTTTTAAATTTATTTATGATAGTCTCACACACAGAGAGAGGGGTGGGGGGTGGGGCAGAGACATAGGCAGAGGGAGAAGCAGGCTCCATGCACCAGGAGCCCGACATGGGATTCGATCCCGGGTCTCCAGGATCGCGCCCTGGGCCAAAGGCAGGCGGCAAACCATTGCACCACCCAGGGATCCCCGAAAAAAAATATTCCTACCTAAATTTCACCTCCACCTCACCCCTACCCCCACTTTGTGAAGGAAGTTGTTCATCTGTGCCATAAGATGTTGGAAAATAGAATTTTTGTGCAGGTTGTTAAGATGAAGATAGAATTTTCTTCCCTATAGTGCTTGCCTAGTATTTTTTTTTTAATTTGGTTATACTCCTTGAAAAGTTTCTAGTTCTAATAAGTTTTGCTATTTTAAGAATATCACCTAGAAGATTGCCCCATTTCTAGCACATTCAAGAGAAGAAATTCCCATATGGCCTGTCTTTATTTTTTTATTTATTTATTTTTTATTTTATTTTTTTTATGGCCTGTCTTTAAAAAAAGACAGACAGAAGAAAGAAAGAAAGAAGAAAGAAGAAAGAAAGAAAGAAAGAAAGAAAGAAAGAAAGAAAGATTGAGAAGTAACTTCTTTCTTCTGAAAATTTTCATGACTCTCATGTCTGAGATATTAATTCTTAGTAAATTGTCAGTCACATTATTTTATATAACTCCTTCACCATTTGTCCAGCCACTATATAGCCTTCTTTGTACGAAACCTTGTTTTTAGATACAGGGAATAAAGCAGTAAGCAGAGGAGGCAAGAATCTCTGCCCTCATGGAGCTTCCATTCTAGTTCTTAGAATATAAATTCTGCAGGAGACATTTAGGGTCCCTGCAGCCCCCGAGGGCAGATGTACCCAATCATGGGGCTCCTGTTTGACCCATCTTTCCATTACTTTTTATTTATTTATTAAAATTAATTAATTTATTCACACAAGAAGCAGAGACATGGCAGAGGGAGAAGCAGACTCCCTTTGGGGAGTCTGATGTGGAACTTGATCCCAGGATCTCAGGGTCACAACCTGAGCTGAAGGCAGACATCCAACCACTGAGCCACCCAGGCACCCTCCATTACTTTTTATGTCTAAGCATTTTCCTTATATTTCTCACTTGATGCACGTCAAGGCCCCCGTTAACCTGCATGTGCAGGTATATGGCCAAAAGGGGAGTGAAGGGAAGACTGTGAAGCCCCCGATGCATAATTTTGCCCAGTCTCCTTGGAAGCTGTCCTGTTATTCATTTAGTCATGGATTCAATAGTTACATGTGAAGAGCCTACTCTTTGTGCTAAGTGCTAGAAATGCAAAGATTAGGAAGAAATGGTTCCAGCCTTCAAGGAAGGAAAAGAAGGAAAAGGAATAGACAGAAAAGTAAAATGGGATGTGATAAGTGCAGTAGATAAATTAAAAGGTAAATGCAAACTGACCAGCTTAGGTGGTGGCTGAAGGGAAGCCCTGCTGTATCCCTAGTGTCTAGAAGAGTGCCGAGTGTAGAGTAGGTGCTCGGTAAGTATTTGAGTGAAAGAAAGAATGAATATACAGGAGGTCAGAACCGTCTTCACAGGGAAGCATTGTCTTGGTAAAGTTAGAATTGAGGGGATGGGGGGAAGAAGGGATTCCAGGCCAAGGGAGTAGACTCTAAACGGAGCAAGCATATCTGGAATATAGATAGGCCCACCTGATTCTGTATCTCTGTATCCAGTGAAGGACACGTTGCCTCCATCCATTTACTTCCTCTGCTTGGTTGGCCCCATTTTGTTGTCTTTCATGAAATAAATTCCCTAAATACTGAAGGTGAAGGGTGTCTCTGATCTTTTGAAAGTGATTGTCAATTTGGCTACTACACACTGGAACTTTGTAATTTGGACTGCAGCCCCAGAGACAATAAATCCGTAGTCCTCGGGTAGGTGATTAACCCGTTGTCTCCTTTCTTTCGCCTTCTAGAAACACAGGCACACCGTCCCCTCTCTCTCCAGTTCCTTCTCCTGCCAGCTCCGTAGGGTCCCAGTCCAGTGCTGGCAGCATAGGGAGCAGTGGTATGCCTGTCACCATTCAGAACATGACATCTTCTTATGTCACCATTACTTCCCATGTCCTTACCGCCTTTGACCTCTGGGAACAGGCTGAGGTCCTTACAAGGAAGAATAAAGGTAAATGGCTCTGTGGTGGTAATTACCGGGGCAGGGGGATCGGGAGGGTGTAATGTGGTTGGTTTGTGCTTTATGTTCAGTGTTTGGAAGAAAAGGAAGTATGTAGGTATTTGCTCTCCTCACATCTCCTCCATTCTGCCTCACGCCTGAGCCACGGTGCATGAACTCTGCAGCTTGGAGCCAGATTTCTGTGACTAGATCTCAGCAAAATTAAATTAGAAGTGGTTGTAGCACCTTGCCCGTCCAGAAGTTCTGGCATCGTTTATTCCAGCTTGAACTGAAATGCTAGCAAAAGGGCAAGGCAAGTGAAGAAGGGAAGTCACTGGCTGTCTTTGGGCACAACCAGTTTGGTATGTGAAGTAGCGTAACCTCAACAGCAAGTCACGTTATCTGCTTTCAGCGTATGTTAAGAAAGACGGTTTGCAACAGTATAAGAAGTATGGCGTAGTGAATATTCCCGAGACTTCTCTGAGAAGCAGGCCCTTGGAGAAATTCAAGGTGTAGGAGGTGGTAGAGCTTCTGCTATCAGAGGAACTGCTCCGTGTCGTACCACGACCACTGAGTCACTGCGTCTGTAACTGCCGCATGACCGCCATTCCTTAGTTCTTCCTGGCTGTAGGGGAAGCGGTGGCCAGCCAGCTCTAGCCACTTAATTTTCTCATAGCTTCTTACAATTTAATTTTCTTTCATAGCAAACTAATGATGCTTTTAACACATTGGGGATTTTTTGTTTTGATTCACGCATCCATTGATCCAGTCACATAAATTGGGGTATTTTCTGGCACAAGCCATCTGCCAGGCATTATGGATTCAGCTCTAAAACTAACCCAGTTCTTATCCTTCTAGTCTAGTGGAGGGATGTGGAGAACTAGTGAGCCATTATAGTAGATTGTGACTTTTTTTTTTTTTTTCTGGGATGAAGTATAGAATAATGTGGGGGATACAGCTGCTGAAACTTTGACTTTTTAGGTATCCATTTTTATTTTCGTGTGTGCAAATGTGTTTACTTGGTTTTGGTTTTGCTTTGTTTGCAGAATTTTTTGCTCAGCTCAGCACAAGTGTGTGTGCCTTGGCCCTCAACAGCAGTTTGATGGATCTGGTGCACTATACAAGACAGGGTTTTCAGCGGCTAAAACAAGCAACCAAAACACCTTAACGGAGGCCCAAGTTGATTTGATGGCTTGGAAACTTTTTTGCACATTGAAAGCCTCAAAAACAGTTCAGACGTTTGTCTCATCAGGACACCAGACTCGAGAAGAGAAGCACCATGAGATGGCCAGGACATTTGTCCACTTAAACGTTCAAGAACTTATGTGATCGTTGGTTGGACATGGTGGTTATGCAGAAGCAATGAGGAGGCTGGCCTCAGAGATGATCTTGCCTTTCCTAACTAAAGGACAGAAGTGCAATGTAGACTAAGTGGGCGTATGAGTGGTCTAGAAACATTTCCGTACTTTTTTAAACCAACAGGATGCAAAAGGCAGATGAAATGAGGAGAAGCAGTTTCAGCTCTGAAAGCAAGTTCATGTCCTCTCAGTAGCCACCCCAATCTATTCCCAGAAAAATTTTTAAACAGTGAATTTTGGTGTAGGGTTTTGTGGATGATTTTTTTTCCTTTTAAGTTTAGGGGGGAATGTTTGTGTAGCAAATTCTAATGGTCATCTGTAAAGCATAAGTTGTGAAGGACTCCACTGTACCCCACTTTCTGCACATGAACAGTGGCTTTGATAATACCAAGTATTGTCACAATTTAGAAAATTGAAGGCAACTCCCCCCCCCCACCCCTGTTGCCTGGAGTACCACACGTTCACCCCAGTTCGGATTTCTCTGTCACTGCTGCAGTCAGCCTGAGTCAGAGCAGTGGAGGGAGGAGCTGCCGCTCATGGGGAAGCCATCTTGAGATCGCATGCACCATGGAGGATGGGGTGCTGCCGTCTCCACCCCCTGCTTCAGCGAAAGGCAGTCACCATTGACTATATTCTGACTTTTCTACTTGGGGAAGAAGGGAACCAACATTTATACCTGACCAGATGGCTAAAATGCGTTTTCATTTTTGTTTAAGTAGAGCTGGGATTTGAGGTGCTGATCTGTGGTCTACAGTTACGTGGTAACTCTTGTTGTCTAACCAACACACAATTTTGTCAGCAAAGAAAAATGAAAACTACTTCTTAGAGAGGCTATATTTTTCTGCTACAAATTATTTTATATTTATAGCAAAAGTAGATTTTCTGAGCCCTTGATTGTCTAGGGTAAATTAACTCCCTGAGAGGAAGTGGAGATTTGGGTGGTTAATTAGACTTAAAAAAAAAAAAATTTGTCACCACATGCCTTCACTCCAAAGTGTTCTCAATCAACTAGATTTGATTGGATTGAAGAGGAACCGTGGCCTTCCCATACGCTGTTATTGCCATATTATAGACGTTAAACCAAGTTCATAGGGAATAACCTAAAATGAAAGAACACAATCAAAATTCCCACATAACCATAAGCACAGATTTTTTTTAATTGAAACTTTGAAGGTTATTGGAAGCATTATTTTGAGCGCAGTGTTTTTAAAAAGCCAATTCTTTATATCCCTTTTAGAAGTAGAATTTGCACACATATTAAAATTGAGGAGTGAGTGTTATCACTACTGTTGGTTCATTTTTTTTCTCCCTTCGTCCCATTCTGCCCCTCTCCGTTTGATTCCTATCAAGAATGTTTGTCATTTTCATACTATTCATGAAGAAAGGTGGACCATCTTTATTACAAAGAGGTCGAAGATCTGTACGAGGAATGCAAGAACTTGGTGATTTGGTCACTAATATAAGGATGTGTAGAGGATGGGAGTGATGATTTTTCATGTATGAATTGTTTGCGTGAAGCTGTTCCTTCAGCGTCTAATCCAGCCTATCCTCTTGTTATCCTAGCTAGTTTAGTGGTTTGTTACCTCATGTTTAGGTGAAAGCCAGAGTTACAGCAGTAGTAGTACGCTACTCAGATGAGCGTAAGAACTGGATGTGTGATCTTGATGGGCCTGTTTCATTCATTGATGTTCTAAAGCAAGGCCATTTAACAGAACCTTTTGTTAAATGAGCACTAACTGCCTGGTGGGTTGTGGCACTGTGTCCATCTCTTATGTGTGAGACCAGACACCAGAACCAGGTTGATGGGATTGTTTAAGTCTTTTTTTCCCCCCTTATTCACTTGGCCCCCCTAGCCCCGTTTCCCCTACCATTCCCTAATACAAGTCACCTGTCAGTTTGGAAGGGTATGTCCTTTTAGGGACAGGTTCTGATCTATGCAGATTGTGTTGGAGTGTGTGTGTATGTGTGTGTGTTCTGTTGGTGAGAGCGACAGCATTCCTGTGACTTAAAGACATTTCTAAGCGATTTCTTAGCCACTTCTAAAATTGGTTGCTTTTTCAGTGGCCTTACTCTTCTGGTGTAGTGTTCCCCACCTCCAACCTTTATATTAAAATTTTATTTGTCCCTTTGAAAAACTCATCAATTTGCAGAGATCAATTTGTAGTATTTTGATCGTGGAATATTTCCAGTTCTTACTGCATTATACCGAAAAGAGGATTCCCAGTGGCTACTTTTTAAATAGAGTATGAAAAATAGTGGCTGATGAATCCTTAATGTTCATAAGATCTTTTTCTTGTTTCAGTTGTGTATAGAAATCTAAAGAATTTTAAAAATCACTGCAGTTTTTCACTGCATGCTTAAATTCCCAAAGGCAGAATTTGTACTGGGGTAGATAATTGAAAGGACTAGATTATAAAATGAGACAAATACAGAACATCTTAAGGAGTGAAAATTGAGTGTAAAATCTTGCCTTTGGCACTATAATTTTGTGTGTGTGCGTGCGTGCGTGTGTGTTTACTAGGAAATGGAAGAACACTGTTTCACTTTTTAAAATGTTGAATGTTTCTGTCCTTTCTGTAGATAATTAAAATGTGAATCACTAAACTTGAGATTTTAGCCAGACTAGGGGCCCTGATAAAGAATGAAAAACACTTCACTGAAATTTACCAAATTGCACTGGGTTAAGAATGTGAAAACCTTGACCGCACGCTCGCTGTGGTAAAGAAGCGAGGGTCCAGCAGGCATATTATCAGGACGAGAACTGCAATAGAATGAATGACTGACTTCTACGAATGATACTAAATGAATCTGATTTTTTTTTAAATAAAAGGACTTTATTTTATAGGTCTGTTTTGATCAAGATATTTAGCTTTTGCCCCTAGACAAATTCAAACACACTTTTACATCCTTTAATTTCAGATCTCAGGCTTTTGAGAAGCTAACTGTCGACCCCTTTCTGGCTGAAAGCTTGCCTTAATTGGTACCTGAAATATTTATGTTAGTAGAACCAGGAGCTTACTATTTTTTTTATGATTCCTATCCAGTAATTTTTAGAAGCAAAAAGATGAACCATTGCATCCTCCAAAATGAACAGGTTTTATATCTGACATATGAAAGGAGACGTGTGTGTGTTGTACATGTACATATGCATTCATACACAGAACAGGAGGCTGGTTGAATTGGATATATTCATTGTGTCTTTGTTAACCAAACCTGATTTTGAAATACTAATTTGAGGATAATGCTGTATTTATTTTGATGTGGCTTTAAGACCTGTTAACGTGGGTCTTGTATCTTTTGTTCTGCTTCGTGAAGTTTGAGGCATAATTATTCATCTTAAGGTAAATGAATCATCAAATTACGCTTGATTCTACTTTTTTCTTTTATTAAGGATTTATTTTCCCAGACACTACACAATCTTTGAAAAACTTTGCCACTTCTTCTACTATGCTCTTTATCATCAATTACCAGTATTTAAATTTTGCAGGAATATTTGGGCTTCTTTTAGAAATATAAATGCAGAGTTTTGCTCACTGGAAAGTGAGTTGTACATTGTGGCTATGGAGGGGTGTCAGGATTATGGCGATACTTACTCCTTTGTTCCCTTTCTGTAGTGGGTTGCCTATTTTGATTGTTTTTCGTCCTATTGAGAATTAATGGATGTAAGGTTTTTCCTGTGCCTTTTTATCTTTGTGCTTTGTTTGCTGGAGGTGGAGTGGTGTTGGGGGATTTTTCCTTCAAACAGTGCAAGTGATATCTACCACATGAACCTCCAGTATGCGATCCAGTTGTGTTGGCTTCTCGGAGACTAAGAATGATGACCACTGGCCATGTTCTTCAGTTCTTATGAGTTGGCAAGGCGCTGTCTACTTAAGGGGGCTGTGAATTTCCTCTTGTCCAGGGGAAATCACACTATGTTCCGCTGTGCAACAGATATCAACAGGTACTGTGATGGGTAGAAAAGTGCCTATATTTCTCTACCCACAAGGGCAGGAAGGAAACCTACAGCTCCCTGTGAGCCTACATAGTACTATATTGGCCTGGAAAGACAAGGGAATAAGACCACTGGCAGCAAGGCTGGCCAAGCTGCGCTGGTGAGAGTGGGCGGTGGCTCACCTGAGGAAGATAATGTGCTTTGCTTCAAAGTAGATGTTCAAATGATGCTTCACACAGGCAGTATTAACTTTGCCTTTTGTTCAGGCCATCCACATGTATTGTTAAAATTACTGCACATCCCCCTCAGATATCAAGTATACACTGTTCATGGTGTGTGTGTGTGTGTGTGTGTTTGTAGGCATGTGTCCCAAATCTTTTTTGTTTTTTCTGAATGTGATCATGTTTTGGATGATACCTGAGCAGGGTTGCCTTTTTTTTTTTTAATTTATTACCATTATATATTATATTATATTATATATTTGTTGCTTTCTTATAACTTTAGAGGAAGTCAAATCTTGGTATTAAAATTGTTTAAAAAGGAATAAATTGTCCAGTTGATAAATGATCACTGGTCTATCTAAAATATGAATTTGTCTTTAGTTATTGTGGAATAATGTGCCAGCTGTCTAGTCCACACAGTGATTTTGTATGTAGGATAGGGAAGCAGTGATGCTCTCAATGGGAAGATGTGCAACACGAGTAAGGGGGGACTCCATGTATTTTATCTACTTCAGCAATGGAACTGCAACTTGGGGCTTTTGTGAATAAAATTTAGCTGCCTTGTATAGTCCTTTGAAAGAGACATATGTGATCTGTGAAAATTATAGTTTTCTTTTTTTAGAAGAAAAATTTGCAAAAGATCTTTCCAAAGATAACGTGCCACAGATCTTTTGTTTGTTGTTCTCTGTAATGAGGATTAATTGCTGTTTAAAAAAAAATGTAATTGACTTGTTAATCTTCAAATTCTTTCCTTTTCACAAGAGGATCGAACTGTTAAAAAAAATCAATAAAAATTTAGAGAAATCATTGGGGTTGAATCCATGCTTTCATTTTGCCTGAATAAAGTGATTCCTAAAATTGCTATATGTAATTACCATTTATAGCCAAGAAGAGTCTGACATGGTGGGATAACAGAACATGCCCTTACAATGTGTATTAAGTGTTGAAATGGGGAAAGACTGGTGGGTAGAGGGTAGGTCATCCTTCTCTTTGGCTTACTTTTAAGAACTTCAGTCACCCACAGATTAGCCTAATATCATCAGTGTGGCATCTTCTCTTTCCCACATTAAGTGCCAGGTGCAATGGTGACCATCATTTGCCTATTTTGAATGTTTGTTGGGTGGACCGATTAGTGAAATGTTGGTATTGAAAGGGATTCTAAAGGCCATCGGGTCTCTCCTCCCTTTGCAACTCTGAAAGAACTAATGTTCTGCCTCAATGATGTTAGTAAATCAGAAAGAACCTAGGTGCTGAAATCGGACTCACTGAATTTGAATCCTGGCTCTTGAGTTTGCTCTGTGGCCTTGGGCAAGTTACTTAACCTCTCTGGGGTTTTCTCATAAACTTTGTTGATTTGCGACCTACCTAGTCAGATGATCAGGATTGCGCTAGACGGTAACGGAGAGTGCTTAGCGTGGTGCCTGCCATGAATGCTTATTGGCTGATGGCTCCTTCAGTTTACTCCTTGCCCTTACTGCACCACAGTCCCCCCAACACCTGCCCCCCAGCCTATGGCTGAACACTGATAAAGACCTCACTACCTGCCACCACCTTTTTCATTTTTTGTTCCTTAGGTTAGGTTGACCTCTACCTAACATTGGGCCTCCTGAACAGACACCCGCTGTCACTCCGCAAGCTCGTGATGAGTCGACCAGCAGCAAGAACTGGTAAAGCACACAATGGCAAGCAAGTGTGGGGCAGGGAGTGTTTTTAGTCCTTAAGAGAAGCTATAGGGCAGATGGGTCATAAAATCTCTGGTTTTCATCTTTTTCACAGAAGCTGTCCCATGTCCTATCTTGTCTGTTACCAATTTTCAGTTGTAGTTGTCCTTTGTATGATTGTATCAGTTTATTTAACCAACCTCCTTGTTAGACATTGAGATTATTTGTAACTAGGGGATATTATAAAGAATGCTTCCACAGACCTCCCTGAATCAAACTATTTGAAACAGATTCAGCAATTAATACTTTACCATATTGTCCTTAAGTAAATGTGTGCATGTATATATTTATGCTGAATTAGAGGTTTCAGCCCTAGCAAGTTCATGCATTTCCCAGGACATTTTCCAACACTAATATCATGTTAACAGCTAAGAAACATTTTCAACAAACATCTAATATTCAGTTCATGGCAAAATTTGTGTAATTGTCCCTGAAGGGTCAATTTTGCAAACAAGATTCAGTTAAGTTTCATGCATAACATTAGTCATTATCTTAGGAAAAACCTTTTAAAAAATATGATGTCCTCTTGTTTCCCAAAGTGTCCTTCAATTCATTCCTCCAACTCCTTTATTTCCTGCAAACTAGGTTAGATCTTAGACGATTATATTTGGCAGGACCCCACAGGGGATGTAGTATGCTTCACATTGTGTTCTATCAGGAGGCACCTGAAATTGTTAGTGATGCTAACTTTGCACGTTTAGTTAAGATGTGACCCCTGAAATGCTGTGGTGATTATGGGCTTTTCCATGGCCCAACAGCTTCTGACACTTAGTGATTTTAGTATGCATTGACAAGCCATTCCTTTAGCAGTCCCAGGTATTATGTTTAAAGAATGCAAAGGGAAAAAAGAAATCACCTAATTCTTTAGGTGGAAAACAGTATCTTCTGATGTTTTCATTCACATTTTATCCCCATGGCACTCTTTTTTTTTCCCCCATCACGTACCAAGGCGCCATTCGCAGCATGTGGGTTATATGGCCAATACCCTGAGACCCAGATCAAATGCCCCAAACAGTAGACACGGGGAAGGTTTTCACCTAAATCATGTCATGAATTCACCAGCAGGAAGGGTTCTCTTAAGGAAGAGAGAGGATGCTGAGCAGCAAAAAAAGAATAGATGATTCCCTTCTGGGCTATTCATCTTTTTCCTTTTGATTTCTGTATTCAAGATATTAATCTCTTAGGTTAGAAAGGTTTCTCTCAAATTGTCTTTTGCTTTTCGGTTTTTATTATGGCCTTTTAAATAAAGTTTGTTTTTGCTTTATGTAGGCCAACCTCTGCCAGTGTGTGTGCACTTTCTGCCGGTGGTGCCCTGCGGTGCACCCGGGCCGTCCCCCCTGGAGCAGAGCAGCTGCGTCCCGGCGGCAGCTCCAAGGTAAGCAGTCCTCGCCCTTTGTGTGCTGCTCAGTCTTTGTACCGGCAAGCATTTGGGCACTTGGGAGCCTGAATTTCCTAAATAGGTATTTTTGTTCACTATTTGCCAGGTGGTTGGAAATGTAAATTGTCACACCCAGGCTACTTTTCCTTAGGACATCTAGGTGTTTAGAGTCCTCCAGTCCATTCTCAATGACTTTGAAGCCCAAAGGGTCTTTACCGTAACATAATCCGAGGTTTATCTGCTGCTACTTTGGCTGTGCTTGGTTGGATAAATGTACCCGTCTCGTCTGTTTTGTCTTAGAGCAGGACTGTGTCAGGGTTTGTGGTTTCCCTGTAGACCACACTACGCCAAAAGCAAGACTGTAGTGAGACATCAAGGCTCTGATAATAAAGACCTGTGCCTTTGAACAGACTAGAGGGTGGACCTGGAATACCTTCTAAACAGACAATTCTATTTTAGCTTCAAAAGACCATGTGCCTGTCCTGGATAAGTGCTGTAAATCACCCTTCTCTATTACTAGGGCCCAGTCCTAACTTCTCATTTACCTTACTTCATGGGGAGGCAGTGAAAACAATTATGGGTTTGTAGCTCTCTACTCCTAAATATTCCTATAAACGGTCATCTAAGCAACAGTACACACACAAACAGGAGCACGCACACATATTTTTCTACAGGTATATACACTCTTGGATATGAAAAATGAGTTGTACTCAACTGCGTGGGCTTTGGAAATATGTCTTCAGTTGAACTATTTGACTCCCTGCTTTTCCATCTTTGTCCTGCAGTTTTTGAAGAAACTCTTCCTGCAGGTAGGGCTTGGCACCTGGGATTACAACTGAGGACTTGCCAAGTATCTTAAGGAGGAAGTCTGTGATATGCTAGAGTGGCTTGCAGAGCTTCCCGAACCTACATTGATTAGTGCAAATCATTTGGGATTTTTTGTTAAAATCTTGTTTTCAACTGATTCACAAATCAGTTCACAAACCTGGACTAGGCTGTTGATGGCTATTTGAAGGAAAATCAAATGATATAAAAGCATGCAGAATAAAAATCGCAAGGGCAAACATACTTCATCCCTTTCCCTCCAGAGTTAACAGCCATAAAGTTTGGTGCATCTCCTTCCAGAACGTTTATTGTGCAATTATACCTTGTTTTTAAACATAAATGTGGAATATTCCATATTCTGACTCTTTTCACTTTATATCAGTCTTCTTTATGGTAATCCTATTTTGGCTGCAAACTACTGCATAATAAGGATATATCACCCTTGATGTAAACATTCTCACATTATGCATACAGGCCTTCCCTGTTAACCCTCCCTCCCCCATTATTCTGTTACAAACAGTGCTATACCAAGGATTTTTTTTTTTTTAAAGGAATCCTGATACCACACCATGTCGCATTCTTTTAAGTATTTTTACAGGATAAATTTTTGTAAGGGGGATATGAGTCAAAAGATAAGCTTAAAATTTTTGATGTTAAACCACTTCTCCCAAAAAGCTCTCATACCAACTGTAGATGGGCATACATTTTTTTCCCATTTATGTATTTATTATGATAAGTGTATTCTTTTTTTTAAATTATTTATTCATGAGAGAAACAGAGGCAGAGACACAGGCAGAGGGAGAAGCAGGCTTCATGCAGGGAGCCTGATATGGAACTTGATCCTGGGACTCCAGGATCACGCCCTGAGCTGACAGGAGGCGCCCAACCACTCAGGCTCAGGTTGAGCCACTCAGGCGTCCCTGATAAGTGTATTATTTAATCCTTTCCCCCACTCCTCCCCTCTGGTAACCATCAGCTTGTTCTCTGTTAAGAGGCTGTTTCTTGGTTTGTCTCTCTTTTTCCCCTCATTTATTTTAGTTCTTAAATTCCACTTATGAGTAAGATCATACGGCATTTGTCTTTCTCTGACATTTCATTTAGCATTATACTCTCTAGCTCTAGCCGTGTTGCAAATGGCAAGATTTCATTCTTTTCTATGGCTAAATAATACTCTCTTGTTGTATATAACACATCTTTATCCATTCATCTATCAGTGGATACTTAGGATGCTTCCATCGTTTGGCTATTGTAAATCAGGCTGCTCGAAACATAGAACTGCATATATCCCTTTGAATGAGTGTTTTTGTATTTTGGGAGTAAATAACCCAGTAGTGAGATTGCTGGATCATAGGATAGTCCTATTTCTAACTTTCTGAGAAACCTCCATACTGTTTTCCACAGTGGCTATACCAGTTTGCATTCCCACTAACAGTGCAAAAGGATTCCTTTTTCTCCACATCCTCACCAACACTTGTTATTTCTTGTGTTTTTGATTTTAGCCATTCTGAGAGTAATGAGGTAGTACCTCATTGTAGTTTTGCTTTGCATTTCCTTGATGATGAGTGGTGTTGAGCATCTTTTTCATATGTCTGTCTTCTTTGGAGAAATGTCTGTTCATATCTTCTGCCCATTTTTAATTGGATTATTCATTTTTTTGTATGTCGAGTTGTGTAAGTTCTTTATATATTTTGGAGTATCCGTTTATCAGAGAAGTCACTTGCAAATATCTTCTCCCATTTAGTAGGTTGCCTTTTAGTTTTGTTTCCTTTGCCGTGCAGAAGCTTTTTATTTTGATGTAGTCCCAATAGTTTCTGTTTTTATCTTCCTTGCCTCAGGAGACATAGCTAGAAAAATGTTGCTATGGCCAATGTCAGAGAAATTAA